AGGGCAAGGAGGTTAGCGATATAGCAACTCCTTGATAGGAGCATTATTAACGGTCTGCCAGGGGCCAGCGGAGGGTGCGCTAGTTGGGCAGGACCCTTAAAGGCATGGACAAAAGTTTGTGGCTCGGGCCTAGAGGTGGCTGGGTTTCAAAAGTCACAGGAGGTTGGCTTAGACTGGACAGTAGTGGGAGGAGCTGGACAAGGCCCTAGGAACAAGGGATCGAACTAGTCACTGGCAGATGGTGCTGGGGTAGGTGGAGGCAAATGAATGAGCTCCAAGCCCAAAAGGGTAGGAAGTGATGGATGCCTAAAGGTAGAACCAGTAAGTATATATGGCCAATTTGGATTTTGCAGTCAGAGCCCCAAGAGCTTGGGACTAGGGCACTCCCCATTCTCCTGCAGACAAACACTTGGGCCCATACCCCCCACCCTCATGCCCTTCAATACAGAGTAGGGGGTACAGAGTCCTCAGCCCAGTATTACTCCCACCCAGGAGCCAGTTTTATCCAGAGCAGAGACAGTATGTATGAGTGGCAAGAGGGTGGCATGAGGTTGAGGCCCGTGGGCCTGTTTACCCTTCTGTGAAAGGTGATGAATGAGGACAACAAAAGCGGCACTGACCCAGACAAATATCACATTATTTATTTCACAAACACTGGGAAGACAGGTTGGGGGGTGGAAGTGGGACACAGGTGCACAGCTGCACAGTCATTAGCAGCCCACTCCCCACATGGAGGATCCAGCCAGGCAGTGCCTCCAAGTTGACAGGCAGGGAGGGCCCAGAACACCAAGCCCTATGAAAGGGGCACAGCTCCAGCTGTCCCAGGAAAACCACAAATAAATAAGAGTAGGGCACGGCCCCACCCACTCAGATAATTTAGTCACCCATCTTCACTCTTGAGGTCTGCAAAAAAAAATAACAGGAAAAATCAGTTAGAGACAGAAGAACAAATAAGACAGTGACAAAAAACAGAAAATCAGACCTATCACACTCATGGTGAGATGAACAGATGACAACAGATGAATGACTGGACCAAAATGGATATGCTATGACAGAATAACACAGATATTCTGACAGAATAACACAGAATAGGGACAATCAGACAACCACACTTAGGCTGTGGGACAGATAGATGAAGAGAAAAGGCATATAGACAGTGCCAGTCACCAAGAGTCACCTCAGTCAAGCACCCACAGTCACCCTCAGATCCCCCAGCTGATCATTAGCCACAAACTCACACACTGTTAGACCAATAAGACACACACAATTCAGACATGCTGTCCAACTGACAGCACAGATACACACAGGCCCTGCTAAACAGGCAAGCATGCTGAGACAGAGTGATCTGGACACAGACAAGATCCCAACCCATACAGACAAGCAAAAGGAGAGAGACTAAATGAAACATACAGACACAAAGGGGGAGGGGGGGCAGAGAGTTGTTAGTGTTTCCAGATTAGAAACAAAATTAAATTGAAAGCTTCAAAGGGAGAAAACCAGATGGGAATGAAGTGGTGAAAGCTGTTCAGGGGTTCAATGGTTACAGGTGGAGATGGGAGCACTGTAGCTTCTGTGGAAGGAGGGTGAGGCTGGGTTAGGGACAAGTGCAGAGGCTCCCCAGTATTCAGCACCTGAAGGATCGCAACAATGACCCCAAAGAGCCCGATGGCACTGCCAAAGATCTCCACGATAAGAATCTTCACAAAGAGGCTGGGGTTCTGTGCATCAGCCAGGGCGGCTCCACTGCCCACAATGCCCACGCAGACTCCACAGAAGAGGTTAGACAGGCCCACTGTGAGGCCAGCTCCAAAAAGGGAGTAGCCTGGAGGGATAGAAAGGGAGCACTGAGGCCAATCACCAGCCCAACTGTGCAAACCAGGCCGAAGTAGGTGACAGAATATCAAAATGAGGAGTCTAAATTGGGGGTGAGAAGGGGAAAGCAAGTGCCCTAGCTTTTTGCCTTCACATACCCACCTACCTGCATGATAGTTTCGATGGCCAATGGCTTTGGGGTCAGTGGCACTGAAAGGCTGAGGAAGGCAGAGAAGTAATCAGAAAGCACCCTTACACCCCTCTCCATTCCCCAAGTAATGTACAGAACACACTGGAATGGATGCCCAACCCACCCTGGTCCTCCATACCTCAGCCAAGTTGCTAATGACAATTGCCATGATGATGCCGTAGATAGCCACAGCCTCACAGAAGATGATGCTGGTGGTGGTAGTGGTGAGCAAAGGGGGTTGAGAGGAGAAAGAGATGAGGAAGAAACCAACCTTCCTCCTTACAGAGTTGCCCACTAGCATCCCACCCTATCAGGAAGCTGAGCAGAATGTCAGGTCAAACAATTGGGCAGCTCCCAGTGCAGCTGGTTCTGACAGCCTCCCAAGGGCCCTAACTTACCTGACCAGGTTCTTGGTCTTGATCCTAGGGGCCTTCACCCCTCCCCCAATGATGGATGAGCCAGTAATATAGATGCCCCTGGTGGAAGGATAAGAAACCAATGAGCACAGGCCAAGTTTGTCAGCACCCCCTGTCCCCAGGGTGACTAAGGACCCAACACCATGACTCATCCCCCTTCCCCTAAATCACGCCACCCCAACACTCACCAGGCTGCCCCAACCACAGACAGGGAGATAGCTAGGCCAATGCCCAGGTTTGACCACATGAAGGGGGAAGTCTCCGTCAGGAACCTGGTGTGGAGACAGGGAGGACAGTAATTCAGCCTTGGTGAAGTGGGCACAAAATTCACTCCCCCACACCTCCAACCCCACCAGAAGTGGTTGCTAAAAGAAAAGACTTCTATCTCACAAAGGTCCACATCCCAGGCAGCTGGGGACGGGTGGAGCGGGCTCAAACCAGAGGAGGGCTGCAGGGAAGCAGCTCCCAGGGGATCCTCTCCCTGCCCTCCCTTACCATGCCACATCAAAGCGGAAGCCCAAGTCAAAAATGGTGTAGCAGATCCCTGCAGCAGTGAGAAAAAAAAAGGGGTTAGGGGCTGCTCTCTAGAGAGAAACTCCCCAACTGAGACCGGAAGTTGCTGCCCAGCTGATGGGCCACCTCCTTAAAGGTCTGCTTACACCCAAGTCAAGGGACAGTCCCTGGACCGGCCCCCCGCGCGAAAGCAGGCTGCCAACAGAGCCTCTGCTCGAGCTTCCATTTTCCGCCACTCCCTCAGCAACATGTCACTGGTGACACTCCTCCCAGACCAAGGCCCTTGCTGGGCAGCAGCTCGCAGGCCTGAATACCACGGAGGAGGGGAGACAGGAGCGCCCTGGCCAGGATCCACCGGATCCCACCAGCCCAGTCCGCGCCGCTGTTTACCCAACACACTGGGGCGGGGGGCGGGGGGGGACACGACCGAAAAGAGGAACTGGGGCAGCCGGCCCCGACCCGAGCAGGCCGGTCAGGAGCGAGAGGAGCGACAGCGCGAGCCGGGGGAGGGGACGCCGACGCCGACGCCGACAGAAAGAGACCAGGGCGCTCCTGCGGCCCCCACCTGCCCCGCCCGCGCCCCTCCTCAAGCAGCCGGACACCCGGTTCTCCTCAGTCGGGGTCAGAGGCCCCGACAGGCCCGAGGCAAGTCCCGGAGCCCGGGCGCAGAGTCGCGCTGCAGCCCCGTGGCCCCCACGCCCCCCGCGGGGCTCCAGGCCGGCCAGCTCGACCCGGACGCCGGCCCGCCCGCCAGGGCCCGGCCTCACCCACGACCACCATGCAGGCCCAGAAGGCCACGAAGACCCCGGAGTAGAGGAGCGCCAGCCCCGTCATGGCGGCAGGACGGCGGGGCACGGGTCGGGGGGCAGAGCTGAAACCGCGTCCCTGTATCCGCCGTCCGCCCCGCAGTCGGCCGGCCCGCACCGTCACCTGACTCGCCCACGTGACGCGCCAGCCCCACGTGACCCGCCCGGCTCTGCGCCGCTGCTGGGCTCAGGCTCGGCGGCGCCGGAACAGCAGGCGCGGAGGATTGTGGTGGTTGTGGTCTCGGGCTTCGGAGAGGCCCTGGCGCCCTTCCCACTAAGCACCGCGAGCTCTCGGGTGTCTCGCGGCTCCTCCTTTACACCGGAGCCCGGGCGGGCCTCGCTGGCTCAGCCTCCGAGCTGCGGACCCCACGGCCTCCCCCTCGCCGGCCTACCCAGTTCCGCTCGGGTGTCTGCTCTAGTCCTCCAGCCATTTCCTCTGCCTGAAGCACGCTTCCTAGTGCTTGGTCCTCAGAAATCATTCTTCCAGGAAGCCTTCCCTAACCCCGAGGCAAGGTGGTGCCCCTGCCCTGGTCATCCTTATGAAACTTCAGCCGCACCAGTCACTATCCTGTTTAAAATGCCCTGGTGGCTCCCATTTCACTCTAAAAGCCATAGTCCTTTGACTGGTGCAGCCACTATGGAAAACACTACGGTGTTCCCTCAAGAAATTAAAAATTGAATTGCCATTTGACCTAAGTGATCCCACTTTTAGGAACATACTCTAAGAAGCCCGAAACACCAATCAGAAAGAATATATGTACCCCTATCACTATTTACAGTTGCTACGATCTGGAAACAGCCCAAGTGTCCATCAATGGATGAGTGGATAAAAAAGCTGTGGTACATATACACAATGGAGTACTATGCAGCTGTAAGAAAGAAAGATCTCTTATCCTTTGAGACAACATGGAGGGACCTGGAGAATATTATGCTACGTGAAATAAGCCAATCTGAGAAAGACAAATATCACATGAGCTCACTTATTTGTGGAATATAATGAACAAGGTGGGCTGATGAACGAAATAGACCCAGAGACATAGAGGTAGGGATCAGACTGACAAACCTCAGAGGAGTGGGGGAAAGATAAACTAAAGAACTTATATACATATATGCAATGGACATAGACAACAATTTTGGGGGGAGTGGGGACGAGGGTGTCAATGGAGGAAAAAGGAGAAACATCTGTAACAAAAATAAATCAATAATAAAAAAACAGTGTTTATTTATTTATTTATTTATTTATTTATTTATTTATTTATTATTCTTTAGTGTACCGTTCCTGGAGGTACCACAACACCAGGTCGATGCGTGAAGCGGACAGAACAAGCTCCCACTCCATCCCCCAATCCCAAAAATCCATTCAATACATTGTCCTCGGATAGAGGACACATAAGACACCAAACTGATAACAGACCCTACACTTGATCTCAGCCAAAAGGCAGAGAAGCGATGGGCCAGCCATAGTCCTTTTAAAGACCTACTAGGCCTCTACCAGTGTGGTTCTGGACTTCACCTCTATTTCTCCCCCACTAACTCTTCTTGTTGGCACTGGAATCCTTGGTATTCCTTGAACATACCAGCCATACCTTCACCGCATTGGCCTTGCACTTGTTCTCTCTGCTTCTCCTAATTATCCATGTGGCTCACTCCACAACTTCCTTTCAATCTTTTTGTTTGTTAATCCTCACCCGAGGACAATTTTTTTTTTATCCTCACCCAAGGACACTTTTTTGCATTTATCTTCAGATAGAGTGGGAGGGAGAGAGAGAGGAAGAGAGAGAAACATCGATGTGAGAGAGACACGTCAACTGGTTGCCACCCACACAACCCCAACTGGGCAGGGGACAAACTGCAACTGAGGTACATGCCCTTAGCGGGAACCGAACTGGGGACTCTCTGGTCCGTGGGCTGACACTCTTAACTGCCGAGCAAACCAGCCATGGCCGGAGGACATTTTTTCTATTGATTGTTAGAGAAGTGGGAGGCAGGCAGAGAGAGAGACACACACATGGATTGGTTGCCTCCCACACAACTCCAACCAGAGCCAGGGATCAAACCTGCAACCCAGGTACATGCCCTTGATCAAGAATCAAACCTGAGACCCTTCTGTCCGTGGGCCAATGCTCTAATGCTGAGCCAAACCGGCCAGGGCTAAAAAATATATATATATTTTATTATTGACAGTATTATAGATGTCCCCTCTTCAGTCTTCTTTCACCTTCGAAAGGCCTTTTGTGAGAACATCCTGTTTAATATTGTCACCCCCTCTCCCTTACACTGCCTTTCCCAGGTTTCTTTTTCCATAACACTTATCACCATTTAGCATACTGAGTGTTTTGGTTATCCATCTCTCCCCACCCTTGAGAATGTAAGCACCATGAAAGGATTTCTATTGATCTCACTGTTGTATTTCCAGTGCCTGGCACACAGTGGGTGCTCAATACATGTTTGTAATTCATAGTTACAAAATGGTCAAGGGGACGTAAAGCACAGCATAGGGAATATAGTCAATAATATTGTAATAACTATGTGTGGTGACACATGAGTACTGAAAGTATGGGGGGAACACTCTGTAAAGTATGATTGTCTAAACACTATGCTATACAACTGAAACTAATACAAAATAATATTAAAAGTAAACTGTAATTGAAAAAAATTATTTTGATTACATGTTGAAATTGTTTTTGATATTTAAAAATTTTAAATTTACAAAATAAAATATCTAGTCATACTCATCACCTATATTTCTATTCTTTTAAACTCTTCCCAGTTCAGCCCTGGCCAGTTTGGCTCAGCAGTTAGAGCACTGGCCTGTGGTCCAGAGACCCAGGTTCGGTTCCCGCTAAAGGCAAGTACCTCGGTTGCAGTTTGTCCCCGGCCCTGGTTGGGTCATGCAGGTGACAACCACTCGATGTGTCCCTTTCATGTCGATGTTTCTCTCTCTCTCTTCCTCTCTCTCCCTCCCACTCTATCTGAACAAAAAATGAAAAAAATGTCCTCGGGTGAGGATAAAAAACAAAAAATAAAAAACTCTTCCAGTTCATATACAAAATTTGTATTTTAACTTAATTTGCATCTATAAAGTGTTTAATTTTTTTAAAAGTTTTTATCTTTATTGATTTTAGAGAGAAATGAAGGGAGAAGGAGAGAGAGATGGAAACATCAATGACAGAGAACATCTCTTGGCTGCCTCCTGCATGCCCCCCACTGGAAATTTGGCCCACAACCTGGGCGTGCGCCGTGACCTGGAATTGAACTGGCGACCTCCTGGTGCATGGGTCGATGCTCAACCACTGAGCCATCCCAGCTGGGCCAAAATGTTTAATTTCTACATATTTACTATTTATAAACAACTTATCCATTTTACAAGTATTTGTTAGTTATATATTTATACCCATTTATCATTTTCTAAATATCTTACTTTGTTCATATTTTGTGTTGCTTTTTGCACTCAAATGTTTTTCTTTTTATTTTATATATATTTTAAAGATGTTTATACATTTGCACTATATTATTTCTCAACTGGTTGAGCCCTTCCAATTTTGATGTATTGGTTTGCTATATAGTGATATGCATTTTAATAATATTGAAGTTACATTTTTCATTGTTTTCTTCAGGTATTTATGAGGTGTGTCTTACATAAAGATTTAACAATTCGATTACAAAACAAAAAAACATATTTGTAGAATACATGTTTGGTGCCTACCGTGTCCCAGTTACCATGGTAAGTTTACAGATCTGCCTCTACCAGTAGACTGGGCAATCCCTAAGGGTAGGGACCACATCTCCATTGTTCACCTGTTTCTTCAACACCCTGGGCAATGCTAATCTGCCAAGATTCTCAGAAAATGTGTGGAATGAAGATGTGAGTTCATTCACTTCACCCCTCAACCGTTAGGGTCCAGCAACTCCACTCTGCTTGACGTACCCATCATGCTGGTTCATGCCTGTGTGTTTAAGCATGGTGTATCCTTTGTCCAAATGTCCTTTTAACTCCTCTCTTGATTTTTTTTTTTTCCTCCAAGAGATTCTGCTTAAGTTTCACCCCTTCTGGGAAGCCTCTTTTAGGCTCCAGCTGCTCCTGTGGGCTTCCCTCCTCACAGAGAGAAGTTTCACTGTGTGGTAACTGCCTACTTAACTGCCTCTCTTCTCAATTAACTGGGAGGACAGGAATCCAATCAAATACAATTCAGATCTCCCTGAGAAACAAATCAGTCAGTCCAGACCAGCACTGTCCAACAGAACTTTCTGTGATGACAGAAATGTCCTACAGCTGTGCTGTCCTCTTACCTGGCTATCTGAACAGTGAAATATGACTAGTCTGACCAGGAAACTGAGTTAAATTATGTTTAAAATAGCCATATATGCCTTGGCCGGTTTTGCTCAGTGGTTAGAGTGTTGGCCTGCAGTCCCAAGAGATCCGAGTTTGGTTCCCGCTAAGGGCACGTACCTCAGTTGCAGTTTGTCCCCTGCCCTGGTTGGGTGGCAACCACTCGATGTGTCCCTTTCATGTCAATGTTTCTCTCTCTCTCTCTTCCTCTCCCTCTCTCCCACTCTATTTGAACAAAAAATGAAAAAATGTCGAGTGAGGATAAAAATATAAAATAAAATAAAATAACATAGCCATATGTGTCTAGTGGCTGGTGTACTGGGCAGCACAAGTACAGACCAGTGGTTCTCAACTGGGGGCAATATTGCCCACAAAGGGCACATTTGTCAATGTCTGAGACATATTTTGATTATCAAAATTGGGAAAAGGTATGTTACTGGCATTTAGTGTGCAGAAATTAGGGATGATGCTGAACATGCTACAATGTACAGAGCAGCCCCTCACAACAAAGGATCATCTGGCCCCTTGTGCCAAGGCTGAGAAATCCTAGTCTAGACCGTCTGTAACCAGCCTTTGAAAAGGGCAGACTCTCAGTTGTACACCAAGAACTGAGACTGACAAAAAGTTCTGGGCTGCTCCCAGGACAGATGGGCCTAGCAGCTTTCATGAGGGGCTGCCTGCCCTCCCTCCATCTAGGCTCTTTCAAGGATCCTGGCAGAAGGATGAAGTTGATACAGGGAGCACTAAAAGGTCTTAGCAGTGATTTTTTTTTTTCTCAGATCCTGTCTCAGGTTTATTTGTACAAGTAGCACAGGAAACAACAGCTCCATGCAGACAGCAGTCCAGGGGTCAAACCAGTCCTTCTGTCTTTACGTTGGCAGACAGAGGCCTCTACTGTGGAGCCTTCATGGGGGCCTGGGCACCCTTGGGAGCATGAGTCTGAGTTGTAGCTGTAGTTGCGGCCTGAAGGTTGGTCTGAGCCCTGCCTTGGCCTTAGACTGTGGCTGGCAGAGCCTGAGACCCTTGGCGATGAGGACACAAGCACGTTTCCTAAGCTTGGGGTGAGTGATGTAGGCAAGTTGATTGAGCTTGCAGCTGCTGCCCTTTGAGATCTTGGACTTGACCTAGTTAGGCTTTATAAGGGCCTTGATAGCCTCAACAAGTGTGCTCATGGCCTTGACGTTATGACCCGCCTCTTCTTCAGGCCCTTCTTATTGTGCTTCTTTCAAAGCATGTTTCTCAGGAATTTGGGGTCTACTTCCTTCTTGATGCTGTTTGTGTGCCATTTTTGGAACTGGTTGTGCATGGTGTGGTTCCTGGACTTGGCCATATCTGCACTGAAGCCCACAGCTCCCAAAGCCCCTGGAACCAGAAGAGTTAGCAGTGATTCTTAAGTCCATCTGTGTCTCTGGGCCCACATGGTATCAGCTGTTTCCCTCATCCTCATAGGCGATGGCAATTCCTCGTCTTCCACTCACAGCTCCTGTCACTGGTGTCTGACCCAGGTGAGGCTGCAGCCCTTGCCAGCTCCGGGAACTAAGGAAGGAGGCTGCAAAGAGAAAGGACTGAAGCTGAGTAGGCTGAATCTGGGAGAAGAGTTCAGATGGGAGTGGAGACTTGGCATACTTACCTGCAGGGCTGCTCTCAACCAGATCCAGCTGAGGCCGCGGGGTCAGGGCTGAGCATCCAGCATCATTTGATGGCTTCCAAGCAGATAGGGATCGAAGCTCACCAGTAATAAGTGACACATCTGGGGTGTCCCACAGTTCCGATTCAGGAGGCGGGAGGGGCACGTGGAAGGGAGAGCCTAGAAGGGAAAAAGATGATCCATACTGGCCCCCTGATTCCATGCCCCAAGTGTTTCCAGCTCAAGCAGTGCCCCCCACCACTCACCAGGCAATAAGTCTGCGTAGTGTGTGAGGTGGGGAGCCAAGCCCAGAGATGGCCAGGCAGGATTGCAGGCAGCCTCCAGCTCACATGGTGACAATATAGGTTGGAAGAAGCTACCAGAAGGCTGGAGAGCTAGGGCACCAAGAGGACAGGCCAACAGCACAAAGACATCCACCTCAGGGAAGTTGGCAAGCTTGGGAGGTGTGGGCCGCCCCAGAGCTAACACATAGCTATGCTTGCCGGCAGCCCGAGTCAGGTTCCGCAAGTGTGCCAGGGCTTCACGGTGTCGGGCCACACCCAATGTGCCTACCAGCAGCCCCACCACACGAGCATCTCTGGCCCTCTCTACCAGATAGTGTCTACGTGCCCTTAGCCGCCCAGCCCGGGCACCTTCATCATGAGTCTGCCCTGTATCTGGGCAGCAGGAAGAGAAGGGCCGCTCTGGTGCCCAGCCTAAGAGCAGCCGGCTCAGGTCAGGGTCAAGGTCAGAGTTAGAGCTGGTCCCAGAGCCTCCCACATAGAAAGCACCATACTCTTCCAGACACCTCCCTGGGGCTAGGGGGAAGCGACGCCCAAAACGTTCTAGGGGCTCAGGCTCTGGATTGAGGGAGCCCTCTGGCAGGGGAAGAGCTGGGCTGGAGACAAGCAGGTCCAGGTACCGTGGGCGCAGGAGAGTGGCCAACGCCTCTGGAAGAAGGAGGTGGTGTCAGAGTTAGGGCCTGGCAAAGCAAGAGCTCCCCTATTCCCAAATACTGAGTGGGCCCCAGAAGCAAAGGCTGGGGTTAAGCCCATATCGAGAACTCTACGGGAGTGTACTGAACCGGGGAAATAAGCCACAAAGTAGTTGACCCACCCTCCCTGCATGCACAGGCAAAATCCCTCACCCAGGGCATGGGCGCAGGCTGGCTCACTCAGCAGCACCACAGGGGCTGTGGGGTCTGGGTTCTGGGCCTTGAAGGCTTTGGCACAGAGCTCCAAGGCCACAGAACGCTGACCAAAGACGAAGGCCACCGGCAGTGGGCGGGCTGGAGGGCTTAAACAGGCAGGGCCAAAATGTACAAGGGCCTGAGCTCCAGCTTGCTCAGCACCCAGCACATCCACACAGCAGCTGCAAGGGAGATACCATTAGTGAGAAGAGTTTCATCAGGAAGAAAGTTGCTGTCATCAATAGGAAATAGGGTCAGTGAAGAAAATGATGTTATGAAAAGACACTGTTATTGAAAGGAATAGTATCAGGAGGGCAGTCATCAATCATCATCAAAGAGAAACACAGCCATTAGGGGCAGGCACTCTCATACAGGAGAAACATTACAAACCCTGGATCCCTAGGCCTATCCTACACTCCATCCTTAAGCTCAAATTCACACCTGCCATAGGCTGTGTCCCCCAGAATGAACATTTTTGACCCCGTGGTCTCCTCCAGTCGTGCAGCCACAATCCCAGCATCTCCTAATAGCTGGTCAGGGAACTGCAAGGCCACCTGTAAGCATACATCATGGAGTCAGGAACGGCATCTCCTTCACTGAAGGTGTCTTCAAGGAAAACCTTCCCATAGTCCCTACCCAGCCAACCTTCAAAGCCCCTCGTCCCAGAGGAGCATCTGCCCCACTCCCCAGTGCTCACAAAATTACCCCAAGATCCCGACCCTCTGGGAGACCAATCCCCAGAGAGGCGAGCCACTCCTCCCTAACCTGCCCTCACCTGCGGACACCCCAGGTCACGGACAAATCCGACGACTCGCTGCAGCTCGTACACTCGGTCCAGGTCGGCAAAAGGAGTGAGCAGCCCCGCAGTCCCCGCCTCCCGCTGCAGCGCCGCCTCTGCCGGGCTGCTAAATGTAGACTCCATGAGGCGCGGCTTAGGTGGCAGGAAGCAGCGGGAACCTCCCACGGTCCCCACGTCCTCAAAAGCGGCCCACAATGGGTCAGTCACATAGTGAGGGCGGGGAGCTAGGGAGTCAGTAACTCCGCAGCCCGTGGACCCGCCATCCTTGCATCCAAACTTGCGTTTCCTCACTACACGTGAACCAACCGGAGAGATTACTTCCGGATTCTTGAGGCGGGCCGATAGCAATCTTACCAATCTTAAACCAGCACAGCTCCCACCCTCCAATCCTTGCCACCAAACCACCCACAACCAATGGTCGGCCTCAGAGGCCAAGGGGCCAATCGGAAGTGCTTCAGGGAGAGACGCAGAGCTTTGTGGGTGTTGTAGTTCCTTTGGCTCTCCTCTTCAGGCGCTGGGAGTTTTCAGGTTCAGCCCACTATCCCCCTTCAGAAACATCCACTCCCTAAAAATAACTCCAGTTCGAGTAGCTCCAACATCTCCATGGTTGTTTCCTAATCTGCAGAATGGGGCTTGTAGCAATAGTACTCCTAATAGAAGTGTTGGGTCAAAACAGTTTAGACATAAAACCTTACAAAGTAGTCCTTTGTCCTTTCCATGTCACATGTACTGAAAGCATTGCTTTTACCCCCACAATCGGTCAGGCAGGCAAACACTGAGCACTTACTGTTCACCAGGCATTACATTCTTAGAGTTTACAGTCTTCAGAGTAAGAATGGTCTCATTTTACAGGTGAGGAGACTGAGATTCAAAGAAGCTAACTACCTAATAAGGTATGCCTAATAAGGTATGCCAAGTCAGTGGCACAATCAGTATCAAACCCAGGTCTGATTTCAGAAGCTGGGCTTTTTGACTTCTCATTCCCCTAGCTTATTTGCACTACATTGGTCATGGGGGAAGGGGAGAAAAGGAGGAAGACACTGGACAGCTGGTAGCAGGATAAGAGAACTAAGTGAGAAATCAAGAGTACAATGAGAGTGGGGCAGGGGGACAGAGTGGCCTCGAGGGATGGCACATGAAAGGCTGACATGGGAAGAGATTGTATGAGAATGAAGAATGGACATAGAATTTGTGCAAAGATTGGGGAAAAAAACGGGAAGGAGACGATTTATAAAAGTAACCAGTCCTACCTCTAAGGAGACTCAGGCTCTTAGGCAGGAGTGGGAAGAACCCAGGCCTCTTCCTCAGACCTCACTGAGGAGAAACCTGGGGTGCCTGAGAGACAGCCCAGGTGGAACTGTGACCAAGGAGACAGAAAGGAAGGGAAACTGGCAAAGGGAGGAGAGCAACAGGGCAGGAGCTGTCCCTGGTCCTGACCAAGGCCTGACCATCGCGCGCTGGTTCCAGGCTCAGCCCACTACCCACCTTCAGAAACACCCACTCCCTAAAAATAACCATCACCAGATGGTCAGGTACCATAGAGTGGGGGAGTTATGGGTACACAAACACTAGGTCCTGCCTTCCTCTTCCTCTGGGGTCTGCAATGCCTCCTCCAACACATGCTCAGTTCCACTTTCTATACCTCTCACCAAGCATGTGAAAGTTTGGGTGCCTCCATAACTCCACACCAGAAACCCATCCTGGAACTCAAAGCCAATCTCCAATTTCTCGCTCCCAGCTGGACCCAGCCCGAGTCCCAGGTCCTCCACCTCAGAAGCCTCCCATTCCCATTAGAAATAAACTTCCTCCATGCAGCCTTCCTTCACTTGTCCCAGTTTCCCAGCTTAGCATGATAGCTATGCACTAGATCAACCTTTGTTTAACAGAACAAAGCAAGGCAGAACTAGGGACCCAGTGCTCAACATTGTTGATTACATAAATATATGCATCCATGAACACTGGAGACAAATTAAAGGGGTGTGGTGCTGATACTACTGCAATCCCTGCTCCAACCCAAGGGCAATGGCAGTATTCGGAATGGCTCCAGCCTAGGAGCAGCTCCAGCAGTACCCTTTCCACTCTAGGAGCTAGAGGTTGGCTCCACCACTCCCTACCAAGGGCTGGGTCCAAGCATCCTCCTATCCTTACCCTAGGCCTTCTGGGTAAGTGGTGGTGATGGCAGTAGAAAGGAAGCAGAGACAACAGTGCAGTAAGGGTCCAGGTTTACTCTTTGGGAATAGGAAGGAGTGAGGAGGAGGTGTGGGTGGGACGGGAACGCCCCTCAGTAGTCAGCTGTGTAGTCTGTGCCATGTAGCCCCCGGCACAGCAGTGTGAACTCCTTCACCATCTCCTTTACCCGCCTCTTGTTCACTCGCTCGCTGAAGGAGAAAAGGGAGAGCAGGTTAGTACCATCTACCACTAACTCATCCTCTTCCAGACCTGAGCCCAGGCCCCACCAGTTCTGCTCACCGAAGGATCTGCTGGCTGAAGGTGTCCTTCTGTTCAGGGCTGAGGCGGGCAGAAGGAAAACCAGGAGGTTGCAGTGCCTCCTTGATCCACATGCTCAGGAGGCTGAAGCAGTGTTTGTTCAGAGCAAATAGGATGTCGGCAAAGCAGTCCATGAGGCTGCGGGAGGCCTGGCCCCCAATGGCCTGAGAAAGACGAGTTCTCAGTATCCCAGCGCCTTGCCCCTTCTGCAGCAAGGGTGCTGAGTCACTCCCCACCCCCCTCCAACAGTTCCTCAGCCAAATTGCAGATAACCAGTGAGTGCTGCTTTTTGAGAGCCAGGTCATCCTCACCGCAACTCTGACAACTTTCAGATACTTAAATGAGGAAACAGAATCAGAGTTTAGGGAACCAAAGGCTCAAGATTCTCAAAAGGGCAGCTGCCATAGCAGTGAGGGCCACTGTATCCCCATCAAGCCCCCACCTGCTCCTTCTCACCTCCAGCACTGCTATGAGCAGCATACGGCCATCCTCTTGTACTACCTTTCCCACGGGTTCTACCTCCCCACATCGAGGCAGTAGCTCTGTCTGCAGAGGATAGAGAGGCCTGTCAGCCCCAGCTACTTCCCCCCTCATCGTGGAGACAAGACCTGTACACCATACCCCTACCCTCTGGAGTGCTGGGCAGGGCAGGGCTGAGTACAGGGGTGGTGGGGTTCAGGGATCAGCATGGGACTCACAAAGAATCCACAGGAGGCCTTGACAGTAGGTGCCTCAGGGAACTTGAGGGCCAGCACAGCTGTGGAGAGGCAGAGGCAGATCAGATAGGGCCTAAGGACCCTTCTGAGGAGGGCCCAGGCCCACTTCTCCCACTGGCTCCACTTACCACACTGGAACACAGCTTTGACATCCAACCGTTCACACAGGAACAAATCTGGCTTCCGCTTCAGAGCCTGCAGGGGGTGGAGCTGGTAAGCCCAGCCCCAGCCAGCTGCAAGGACCATCCCCATCCGCCCACTCACCTGCCACCCCAGGGCCCAACTTCACGCACCACAGGTAGAGGTTGTCAAAACCAGCTACCCAGCCATCTCTGGGTGACCCAGACCATTCCAGAGTTCCATAGGCCAGGAGAGGAGCAGTCAAGGAATGCTATGTACATGTATGTGTACATGAATGCACAGGTGTATATGAGAGAATGCAGACAGCTTGGGTCCCAAGTTACTCCCTGAGCAGACACCTTCCCCTCTCCCTCCATCAAGGCCAGATTCCTGCAGACTCCAGGTAGCCAGCAGTGATTTCGCTTTGATTCATAGAGGCAGTTTAGACCCCCTGTATTTATTAACAGAGCAGCAGGAAGAAGAGATGGCAACTGGACATGGAACACAGTCCAACAGCCCCCTCCCATGTCCTGTCATTCCGCAGATACCCTTCAGATCAGGAAGAGGAAAAACAGGGCAGGAGCCTTGGAGTCATGGCCCTACCTTTCACCCAGGGTACCCTGTGGCAGGGCCTTCTCAGCCACACCCAGCCCAGGAGCCATGTTGCCATTTGCAGGGAACGAATGAAGTACAGGGGGCAGACAGCCCACCCCAAGTGGTACCAGGACATGACTGGCACATCCTCAGGTCACAGGAGATGCTCTGCACAGCTCCCACAGTGATCAAATGCTGCTATTCCCCAGCAGCCTCCCAACGCACAACATATAGACCCCTAACTCTCCAGCCTCTCACATGCCTTCCAGCCTGCCATCTTCACCCACACGCACCCTCAATGAAACACCCTACTTACCCTCAAACACACTTCTATCACACTCCTCACACACACTCTCTCCCACACTTGCAGCACACCCTCACTACATATTCAAACACCCAAACCCCCCCACATCCCCAAACCAGCTCCACACCCACACCCTCAATCTACCAGACTTCTAGCACATGTACTCTCCCACATACCCATCCACAGATACACACTCAAATGCCCTCACCCCCAAAGATACATCCTCAATACCCACACATACACACATCCAAAACACTCTCCCTATTCCCCATTCCTTTCACCCTGCTCCCCAAATAAACTATAAGTTACAAGAGAGTAAGAACTATGCCTGCTTTTGCACATCATTATATCCTCAGCACCTAGCAGAGTACCAAGCAGGTATTACATACTCTACAAATATTTGTGAAATGATTAAGCAAAAAAACCCCACATTATTTACCTTAACTCACAGGACCAGACCACCCCTCCCCCCAATCTGCAGGAACCCCCTAACACACAAAACTCCCATATACTAAACCCACATTCCCATAGCCCAATACATATCTTTTCCAAAACATACATACCCTAATACAGACATACCAACACCACAATATATACGCCTACCCTCCATAATACACATTCCCACAGCCCAACACACACACGCCTCCAACACAAATCAATATTCAAAACCCATCAATGCCTAATACACATCAACATAAAACACACATCAATGCACGTGTCCACATTTCAACTATACATCCAACATAATACACATACTACTTACAGCACTTACATGATTTCGGTTCCTCCCACACCAAACTCAAAACATACAAAGTTCAACACACTTAAACACACACACATCGTAACACAGTCTTACAATGGAGCCAGCAACCCGCCTCCCAGCAGCAGCACAACCTGTCCAACAGCCCAACTCTGAGCTCCACTGAAGCACATTCATCTCAGCCTCTCCCTCTGGAGCTCCTCCCAGCCTACCTCTCAAGAGCAGGGGGTACTGAGGCAGGCAGTTCCCGGCAGGAGCACGGGGACAATGAACCCCAGGCCCTTGAACTCCAGTTCTACCCCTGAACTTCTTGGGCACCCCAGCCGCACTGCTGCTGGGCAGTTACCACCCCCTCCCTTCCCGACCCCCACCAGGCCAGCCCAACTCCCTCCCTTTGGGATCAGCCTCTCCCTGGTCTTTGTAGAATACTGAGCTAGCTGAGGCAAAGGGGCACTAAAGGAGGATGTTGGGTTGTCAACTTCCACGGAAACAGATGAAGAAACTCTATTCAACTGAACAGAAAAAAAATTTGTCAACAGAAAGCTAAAAATAGGCTTAAATTGAATTTCAACATAAGAGAAAGAGAGAGAGAGAGAACAGAACGTGAATGAATAAAACTAAAACACACCTGTGCCAGGAGTTGCATAAATGAATCAACAATATCAGGATGATCCCTGGGCCCTAAAATATAATAAAGATGGAACTTAAGAAAAAATTATACAAACAGCAACTCAACCTCATATAGTTATGTGGGACTGAGAGCCTGCAGGGAGACAGCGTGGGGGCACATGAGCAGCAGGAAGCAAGATAAAAAAACAAAACATACAAAAACCATGAACTGGGAGAAGCCCAACAGAAAGAGACGGCAAAGTGAAGGACGGGCCTGCCCCAGCTCCCTCCCAAGGGGCCTTCCACCTACTCCCCACTCCTCCTAGGTGAGTTCCCCAAGTGATCCTGTGGTGCTTGAGCAATGCTGGACTCCACATAGCTGAACATACAGCCCCCGCACTCTTGCTTTGGCCTCTGGCAGGCTGGGGAGGCCCTACACTGCTTCCTAGCACATACCTCCCCATCACTAGCCATCGAACAGGAAGGCAGGAATGGTTGGTTCTTGCTACTTCCTTTGGAGGCCTGGCTGAAGGCCCTGAAATGGCCAGGGCATCAGGACCTAAGCAGGTACCCTCACTTCAAGGGGGGCTTTAGGGCTCTTGGTCTGGCCAAGGAAGGGAACCTACTGGGTCCACTTAAACCAGAGGACGCCTTCTTGGGTAGGGCAGTGCCCAGTATGTAGTGGGGACGGCCAGGAAACCCACTGGTAGGGCCTAGGGAAGGAAACTATATTATGAGACCAAAAATGAAAATCCCACCCACCAAAGTCCCCCACATGGACACAGACTCAGCAGAGAGCCAGGCTCAGGGCTGAGGACCAGCTCCTACCATCAGCCCACACGAAGAAAGAGGGAAACCAGTTAATGTGTCGCCCTATGGTGCAGTGGGAGGGCAGAGTCCGAGGAAGGGATGGCAAGACTGGGACAGCATACAGGTAAGGGGACCATCCTGTCCAGCAAGACAACCAACAAGCCCAACAAATAGGATGCTGGACACTAGTCTGCTTCCAGTTCTGATGTTATCTGTGGCAAGGACAAGGTATGCGCCTGGAGCTCCTGCCGGGTCACTCCACTTTTAAAAGGAGGCACTGCAGGAACACCTGCCTGAGACACCACTAAGGAGCTGTGTGATCTTGCGCAAGCCACAAACACTCAGTTTCCCCACTGTAAAGCAGATAATAATCTTTTCCTTGTTTCCTTCTCCAGGCTATGAGGAGCGACTGATAAAGCCCGCCCTTTTCACATCTGAGCCCTGAGGTACTCAAGTCCTGGAAAGTGGGGCCCAATGTGCCCCGTGCCTGGATCGCATTGCAGACAACAGGTTTGACATTCAACAGCACCCTGCTAGCGGTGGGCCAGACAGTGAAGAAAAAAGGTTCCAAGAGCAGGGAGCCCTCATCCTCCTTTCTTCAACAGTGAATGGTGCCTGTTCCATGCTGGCCTCATTTTGTACACTGGGGATGCAGAGAGAAGAGACCCAGCCCTGCCCTGGAGGGGCTTAGTCTATGGAGAGAGACAGACATGAAGGCTGATTATTGAGTGTAACTGGTCCTGTATCAGCAGTGTGTACATGATGCAGTTTCAGCACAAAGTTAGATTCTGTCTCGGAAAAGCTTCTGGGGAATGATGCATGGGTAAGGCATGAAGGAGTGAGAGCTCACCCAGTAAAGGGCTTAGGGTATTCCAGTCAGAGGAGCAAGGCACAGGGATCAAATGGGACATAGTAAGGGAAAAGTCAGTGTGGCTGGACTGCTGGAGTCATGGGGATGCTGGCAGGAGAGGAAGTCGAGAGGTATGCAGGAGCTACATCATGTGGGTAGGAATGGGATGATAACCTGAGGGCAATGAGGAGTAATGAAAGGGTTTTAAGCCAGGGAAGGAAAATGCTCAGATTTGGTTTGATAAAGAACATTACAGCTGCAGGGTGTAGAATGGATTGGAGAGAAGGGCAGATGTCAGGAAAACCAGTCAGAAAATTGTTGAGGTGATTCAGACACACTATACTGAAACTTTGGACATGGAAGGTGGGGACAGCAGGCAGACTGTGAGATAATCAGGAGCCAGGATGACCAGGACTTGTCTCCAACTGAACACGAGGAGTGAAAGGAGTAGAGTTGAGGATGACCACACCTGGGTTTCTGGCTCAGGTTTCTCCCCACTTTGAACCTCCGCACAGCCCATTAGAGCATAGGCTAGCATCATGTGACCAGATTCTGAGAACATAAGCCAAGAACACTCTGGCTTCAGCTGAGACCCATGGTGAGCCTCAAACCTGCGACCATGAGTCCAGGAAAGATTCATGAGGCGGGTGGAAAGCAGTGTATTTCATTTCCAAGTTAGAAGTCTGGTGAGACAGTAGGGGAAGGCTGGAGCCCCCTTTTCCCAATTCTCTCAGGCTAAGGGCCACAGTGAATGGGGATGGGGATGGGACCACAGCCATAGGCTTTTGGCCTGGAAGGGAATAAACCTCAATGCAGGGAAAGGAATCAGTACTCACTGAGTACCTTTGTGTGTAAAAACCCCAAGCCAAGAGCCCAAGAGATGCTATTTTAATGCCTATAACAATCCTATCAAGTATAAGAAATCTCCATTTCACAGATATGGAAACAAAGGCTCTGCAAAGGTAAGTGACTTGCCCAAGGTCACACAACTAGTTGGTGGTGATGAGCTTAGAATCTAGGAGTACCTGATTTCAAAGCCCATACTCTTTCTACTTTTCATTATATCCCAAAGAAAAGGAGCCAGCCTGGTACCCCAAGCCCCTCAGAGCTTCTGGCCCCACCTTACCCATCATCCAGACTGACCCTTAGCCCAGCAGGCCAGTAGAAGACATCATTCACTCTCTTATCCACTTCAACCTAAGGTGTCCACTATTTGTAAGGTGACAATTATGCTGTGCTTGATCCCATAAGTTTCCCATCAAGTTCCATGTGCAACTCAGGGGACAGAGGAGAACAGAGTGGGCAGCTTTGGCTCCCCAATCGGGGAAGCAGAGGCGGTGGCAGTGGCAGCAGCAGCAGAGACCCTGGTCAGGACCTACCTTGCTGGAAGAGAGTGAGTGTGACGGAGGTGACGAGCAGGAAGAGGGCCTCAATTGGGGGAAAGTGGACAGGCTCATGAGCAAAGATGTGGACCAGCTACAACAAAGCAGGGAATGCTGGTCAGCTGAGGCTCTGTCTCACCAGGATAGGCCAGCATCCCTAGAATGCAGGTGAGGACCCCTGCCATGGCAACCATCAACCCCTTTCCACCCACCTACCCCATCCTGGTTCAGACAGATCTCTAACTAGAATGAAATCCAGAACACTTGTCCCAATCAGAAGGCCCACCTGTCGAGTGAGGTCAAGAGCAGAGGCCTGGGGGATAGTGCTGTACATCCGACCCAGCATCTCACACAGCTGTGGCACCATGGGGGCAAAGTCATCCAACAGCGTCTTAACTGACTTCTCGAAAATAGCGCACACCGCCTTGGGAGGAAGCAAAGGGGTCCGTGAAAGAGAAAACAATATTGTATTATGATCATCGAATTTGCTAAGAGACTAGATCTTAATCATTCTATCCACTAAAAAGAAATGCTAATTATGTGACATGATAGAGGCGCTAATTATGGGTATAATGGCAATTGTATCATGTTATAATATAGAAATGTATCAAATTAACATGTTGTAGACCTTAAATTTACACATTGTTATATGGCAAATATATTTCAATTGAAAAAAAAGAAAAAAAGCAAAGGGGCCCTGGACAGCAAGTCACAATTGCCTGGAACAGAATGGAGGCCTGGCACAGAGGAGGCCTAAGAAGGGGCCCTTACCTATAAGCCTTGCCTGGCTCTGCAAACCAAGGAAGGTAAACAAGTCTGACCCTCACCCTGAAAGGTAGGAGGCAAAAAGGCCCTTTTCAGAGGGGCATGGGATAGAACTTTGTAACTCAACTATTCCTACTTACATCTCCACCATTTCCCCTCAGGGAGCAGCAACAGCAACAAAATCCTGAATTAAAAAGAGACCAAAAGCAGGTCTCTGATGCTAAAGTGGATCCCTGACTGTCACTCAGCCACAACATCATAGTCCTTTGATAGAGCACTTCCTGTAATACTGGGAAGTTCTGAATGCCTTCCCAAAAGATTCCTTGTATCTATGGGACAGGATTCACCTCCTTTATTTCCTCAAGACCACTGCAAGCTTAAATGGGGCAACAACACCTTCCTTCTGCTCCACTTGAGAAAAGACACCATTGGGCAGAGAGCAAGGGTTGGGGCTCACCTCCACCACCTGGGCATCATTCAGCCATTTGCTCAGCACCTTCTGGATAAGCTGGAAGACCTGCTGCAGCACCACTACCACCTGGAGACACAGGAAGAAGTAAGATGCCCCCACCACCACTGTCACCCACCTGAGAAGGACTTCATAGTAGGAAGTAGGCTAAGAGTTCAAATTCAAACCTATCACCCCAGACTGTGTATTGAAGACTCAATGCATGGAATCCTAGTGGAAGGACTGTTTGCTCAATGCTCCATGAACGAAAAAGGATATTTAGAATTCTAAGAATCCTCTTAGAAGAACCCTCAAATTGCAAAGCAGGGAAATTACGAGGGCTTCATAAGATTACTAAATTGTGGGGGGTAAGGGGCTAGGTAGAGGTGGAGGAAGGTATATGGGGGATAAATGGTGATGAAAAAAATAAAATAAAGAGAAAAATAAAAATTACTAAAATATTGCAGCTTTAAAATCATTTCCTATCCATTTCTGCCCGTAAAACTCTTAGTGCCAAAGGCTACTGGCTAGCCCCAGATAGGCTTAGGGTAGACAGCCCCAGGGTATGCACAGATACAAACAGCTTACTGAGGACCAGAGAGCAGAATGAGGTCCTGGGAGGTAAGGGAAGGAAGGATGATGACCACCACAGAAAAAGGGGCTCTGTGGGAGAGATTTAGTCTGGAGCCAAAGGGTAACTGAAACTAGGGTGGGGAGTTGAGCAGAGAGATCAAGACATTGTGGCTTCCTTTTCTCCAGGAGAAACTGAAGGAGGTAGTGGGAACAATGATCAAAGCAGTCCCTCACATTTGTACAAAACTGCATAGAATGCAAAGTACTTTCACTCAAGACCACATCTGCTACCCAGCAGTTCTATGAGATGAGCAAGCCAATATTCTGATGTTTGTAGTTTGAGTGGGAAGCTGAGGCTTGTCCCAGATCATACAGCTTATAAGTGGTCACCAACCCCATGCCTGCCCGAGCTGATCACAGCACTTATCACACTGCTATGTGACAATCTGTTTACATGTATTTCCTCTAGACTGGGAACAACTCGTTGGTAAGAACTATTACATGTGGAACATGTAAACATCCTCAGTGCCCACAGAGAATAGTGAATGCTGAAGTAGAAGACCCCAGAGACGGGGGTTAAAGAGAGGCCCATAATTACATCACTTAGGGGTTGAAGGATAAGGTCAGTGTCCCCTGTGGGGTGGAGGAACCTCAATGACATCACCTCAGTTGGGCTGGGGACAAAGATACCACCCACAGGGTGAGACAATGACATCACTCCCCAGAGGGTGGGGGGCAATGATAAGATCATTCACGGGGTCAGAGGACCAAATGCATCATGCCACAGGGAACAATGGCAATATTACCCATAGAGTTGGAGGTGACAATGACATTCCCACAGGGTTGGGGGTGGGGGCAATGGCAATGACAACATCACCCACGGGGTTGGGTCCCTGTGGCACTGGCAGCTTCCGGAGCTCAGAGCCTTCATGATCATCCTCATGATGACTGACGTCCAGCGTGGTGAAGAGGTTGGAGAGAAGCCCCAAGATATGGACAATGGCCAGCTTGTTGGAGGGATTAGGCTATGGGGAGAAGTGAACTAAGTTCTGGATCTCCCAGCTCCAGCTGGGCCCCATGGCCCTATCCCTGACTGCCAGCTCCAACCCCACTCCTCAGCAACACAGTCCACACAAAAGGAAGCACCAGAATCTCACCCCTGCTCCTCCCTGGCCACACACACACACACACACACACACACACACACACACACTCCCAGCTCACTCACTATCTCCTCTGCCAGCTTCTCCAGCTGCTGGATATAGGGTGAGATGAGCGAGTGCAGGTTCTTAAGGATCTCCTCCACCTGCAGGGCTGACAGCAGGAAGCCCAGTGCCTGCATCAGCCACATGCACTGACTTGTCTGTGGGACAGAACATGGAGAGTTAGTCCTGGACACATTTGGTTATGGGTGGGAAAAATGAACCAACTGAGGAAGCTTTCAAGAACAGAGAATAAGAAATAAGACAAAAGACAGGATTTCTGTGAGTTCCTACAATATCCTCAGGGAGCTCCCTAGAAACTTTTGAGCTTACCTTGTGGATCTGTTTCATTAGCACATCCTGGAGATAAAAAGAAGTATGATATCAGAGCAGTGCAGAGTGTGCCCGAGGCCCAGCTCCACCCAGGGCCCCGCATACCTGGGAGACAGCCACGATGTTGGCAGCATAGGGCGGCAGATCATACTTGCATTCTCGACAGATCTTCTTGAGGGTGGACACAGAAGAGACAGAGAGCTCAGGATTGCCTAGGGCGTGTAGTACGAGGGGAAGAACGCTGTTGATCATGACGGGGTGGTCAGCCAGCCATTCAGAAAGAGCTCCTGGAGGAAGAAGGGAGAGAGAGGAGAGGACATCTGAGGCAGGCCATGCCCCTGGGAGGTAGGCAGAGCTCCCGGGCAGGGTCAAGTTGCAGCCCTAGTACAGAGCACTGATCATTTAAAGGACTGAATGGGCCAATATGCATGCACATGATCAAACATGATCCTTAAAGCTGAGAAGCAGGAAGAAGTTACTCAGTAGAGGCCCAACACTGCTATTCCATTGACAGTGAACTGGCCTCATTAAACTACAGCTCAGTATACTCAGGAAGGACCCTTAGACGTGCCAGGACATTTAGTTGGCTGCAACACTGACTGTGTGTGTGGGCATGTGTGTCTTTCTTATTTTGGATAGAATTGGCTATAGCTGAGGATGAGTGCCTATAGGCTCTGAGAATGTGCTCATGGGTGTGTACCAGGTCTCACCAATGGTGAACATGACGGTATCCGCCAGCTGCACGTTGCTGATGCTGATCCGTGGGATGAGGCCAATGAGCCCAGGTACCACATCAGAATAGTTGACATCAATGGTTTCTGCGATGGATTGGAAGCCATAGAGCAGGGCTTCTGTGTGCTGGGGAAAGAGGGTGCCACTGGCTTGGCTGAAGAGCAGGGTGTGACAGATCTGGGAGGGCTGAGGGAATCAGGCTTGAGGGGTACCTGCCAGGAGTAGGGCTCCTCTGAGCTGGTGAGCAAACGGCCCAGCTTGTCATAGAGGTTGCTGAGCAGCTCGGCTCCCAGCATTTCATAAACATACATGAGCGTGTCTGAGATGTCCACCCTGAGAAGCAGATAAAGGGCTTATACACAGCCTGGATCCTGCCCCCAAGCCCAGAAACCCACCCTGGTATCCTCACAACCCTGTAAAAGTGCCTAGAGAATAGAGAAAGAAGCCCCAGGATTCAAAAAGCCTGGACTTGTGCCCCTCCCCTCATTGCCATCATTATTTCAGAACTCCATTTAGAGCTAAGATAGGCTTGCTACCATCACCTGTAAATTCGGAACTGCTCCTTCTCGTCTGAGGACCAGAATCCATATTCCTCATCAGAAGGGAACTGGGCCTTGTGCAGAAGCACATCCACCAGTTGGAAGTAGACTGGCCGGTACACCTGCTGGTACACAGCCTGCTTCTCTGCCTCAAAGGACAGAATGTCATCCTGAGAGAGCCAGGGAAGAGTATTAGCCACCTCACCAGCAGCCAGAGAAGCCCATTGTCCACCTTCTTCCATCACGGCCCCCTCCTACTGGAGGTAACAGAGACTCACCTGCAGTGTGTACCAGAAGGTGAGGGTTAGGGAGCTGGTAGTCTCATTGACAGGATAGTGACCAGGGATACCCGTGCAGAACATGATCATGTTGACAAGGGCCAGGAAGCTCTGCCAGTGCTCCACTTGGTCCAGCAAGGCCCTTGGAAGGAGGAGATACAGTAAGGTCACTCCACTGCCCCCAAGAGAGCTCTATAACCTTCCCCCCTTAGGGTGCCCTGCTATCCCACCCGTAACTTTCCCACTCCTTACCGAGAGTGGTTCTCACCCAGGGCCACAGCAATGCGACAGATGCCATGGGAGGTCTCCATGTCCCCATTCTGCACTGCCTGACGTAGTTGATCCTGCAGTCCCAGCACCAGTGGGATGAGTTTCAGGAGTGTGTTCACATACCTGGAGGCATGAGAGAAGACCCATCAGAACTGTCTGCCCATCCCTCACTAGATTTGAAAGAAAGGTACATTCTCCCAGTGTTCCATTAAAGACTCCCTCCCCACATCAAATCCAAAGCAAAAAAAAGGTCAGGGCCTACACAGCAGCTGCCCATGTTGGGAAGAACCTTAGATCAGAGACCTCCGGGAGAACTCTGGAAAGGAAGCATAAGGTCAGTATTATGGGTTGAACTGTGTCTTTTTATTAGACTTAGAGTTGATGCTGAAATACATTAAGACTTTGGGGGAGGTTGGGATGAGGTGAATGCATTTTGCATGTGGGAAGGACATAAATTTGGGGGCCAGAGGGCAGACTGTTATGGGTTGAATTGTGTCCCCCTAAAAAAAAAATGTTGAAGTCTTATCCTCTAGTAACTCAGAATGTGATAGTATTTGTTTGTTTGTTTTTTCACTTAGTCAAGTTTATTTTTTTAGATTAAAAAATATATTTTTTTTATTTTTTAAAAAATTGATATTATTTTTAATTTATTAATTTGTTTTTGTTACAGATGTTTCTCATTTTTCCCCCATTGACACCCTCCTCCCCTTGCCCCCACCCCAGAATGTGATATTATTTGGAAATAGGGTCATTGCAGATAAGGTCATAGAGTAAGGGGGCCCCTAACAATATTACTGGTGTCCTTATAAGAAGACATCCACATGAAGACAGAGACCTACAGGGAGAATGACATGTGACAACAAAGGCAGAGATTGGAGTTATACAGCTGCATGCCAAGGAACACCAAAGATTGCCAGCAAACCACCAGAAGCTAGGAGGAGGCAAGGAAGGAATCTCCTATAGGTTTCAGAGGAGCTGACACCTTGATTTCAGACCTCTAGTCTCCACAACTGTGAGACAGTAAATTTCTGCTGTTTAAAGCTACCCAGTGTCTGGCATTTTATGATAGCAGCTCTAGGAAACTAACACAGATACTGTTCGGGGAGACTGAATAGGATGGGAGATTGAAGAGTTAACAAAGGCTCAGGAACCCTGTTAAAGACTTTAAAAGGCAGCAACAGCTCCTAAGAGCATCAATCCCCACCTTTCACTCCACTCCCTACCAAATCCTAACTCCTATTTACTCTGGTGACAGTAGGAAGAAAGTAGATGATGAACTCAGAGAGAGCTAAGAGGCAAAGTGAACAGGACTTGATGATTGATTGGATGTGAAGATGGGAAAGAATCAGGGACAACTCTCAGGTTACTGGCTAAACAAGTAGGTAGATAGTAGGGCTATTTACTGAGACCTGGAGGGATGGTGTGGAGGGGGACAGTAACAAATGTAATGGGAGGCTGGAAGGTGATAAGTTTAGTGTTAGGCATGTTGAATCAGAGGTACCTGGTGAGATATGCAGGTAGAAGTGTCCAGAGTTGCATATAAAAACATGAAACCCAACAGGGAGGTTAGAGCAAGAGACACAGATTTCAGAGTCATCAGAGAACAGTTGGTATTTGGAGTTATAGGAGTAAATGAGGATTGCTCAGGAAGAAATTGTTGAATGAGAGAAAAGAAGACAGTTCAGGTCAGAGCCCTGAAGCACAGTGATCCCTAAAGGAGGAGCAGAGGAAGCACAGTACACAAGAGACCAGGAGAAGACTAGCTCCATCCCATCAGACTCCTCCCCAGTAGCCTGCTCTGTGGAGACGAGATTAAGCAGAAGTGACACTTCAAGGGGGAATCAGGTGCTTGGGACCCCTCTACTGTCAATCATAGTGTCACCATACCAGTCTGTGGCGAGGTGGTGGTGGGGGATACTGAGTGTGCAGAAGGAGTTCTATCTAGACTTTCCCCAAGCAGGTTGCTAGGTAAGTAGCTTCATAACTTTAGGGGTAAGATGTAGACAGAGGCAACCAGTTCAATATGTTGGCCTGCACATCTCCATTCTGGTAAGATTAAGACATCCATACCAGGATATGCCCAGCCCAGAGACAGATCCAGAGGGAGCTGCCTAGAGACAGCTGGGATAGCTTTAGTCTCATGACCCTGTCACGGGCTGTACCACCAGACAATGGGCACCTTCAGGCCAGACTAGCACAAAGAGCAGAGGCAGGGCCAAGGCCATGACCCATGAGTTCCCCAGCAACTGTGATGGGGCAAGGGGTGGTGCTCTACCCCCATAGTACCTCCAATTCATTATAAAGCTGCCTCACACTTGCCAAAATTCATATATACAATAGATCTTCAATGAAGTTTCTTAATTTGCCTCATTTGAGCTTTATAAGATAAATCAAGGACAATATAGCCCAGAAGGAATCAGAGTATTACTCAAGGTCATACAGCAAATAGGTTCCGGGCTGAGAAAGGCCCTTATACTGCTATAGGTCTGCTTCTCTTTTAGGGTCCAACCCGAATTTCCCCAAAGGATCTACGCTGATCTCAGCCCATGGCTCAAGTCCTAACTGACAGAGAGCTCCAAGAACCTGTCTAATTCACCTTCTCTCCTCCCCCAGCCCTCACTGAAAAGCTTTTCCAGAATTAAAACCATATTACAGAGGGGGAAAATTTTTTTCAAAGGAGAGAGCCAGGCAAGCAGCAGTAGCAGTGGAGGAGAAGGAAAAGAGTGATGAGTGCAAGCTTAGTCAAGGGGAGGGCCAATGTCAGAAAACCTGGGTAAGACAGTGGCTGGATGACCCAGAAGTCAAAACCACTGAAGAAGACTTTCTCAAGACAAAGCTAGGAAACTAGATTACAGTAGAGCAAGGTCCGAACTCTGACTCTGGGCTGGGTGCAGCCCACCTATCGAGTAAATTCTTGCATAGATTTCCTACCCCTGGGCACCTGTGTCTGAGAACTGTGAGTAGACAAGAAAACAGACCCAAGGCCCCCAGAAGTTTCTAGGTTTGGGGAGAAAGATAAGAGAGGATGGATGTTTTTAGGGCCATGGCTGAAACTGGGTTCAAGAGGGCTGATTCCAGTTGGTCAGCTTGAGCTGCTGGGGCAGGGCTGCTGGGACTCCTTAGCTGTCACTCACACCAAGCTCAGCTCAGACCTGCAATTAGAGATCCAGGAGCAGAGCTGAAAATGGGGAGTGTTGCTAAGCAACAAAGGGAGCTACAGCCAATAGGCACTCAGGAGGCTGTGGGTTTCCTCACTGGCTTCTTGCTTGCTCATTCGTTCAAAGAGGAGGCATCAATTACCTGCCAAAGCCCTGGAGACTGGCTGGGCGGGTAATCCTGGGTGTATCCAAGGACATCCCACATCACCCACGCACTGGCCCTGGCCAATTGTCTGAGCCCAGCCACTATCTGAGCTTCTGGCTGCCAAGAAAGGCCTTGACCTAGGACTTGCTACCCATCTTAAGTTGAAAACCTGGGAAACCAGGGGATAGGCATAATACTAACTGTTAATGCAGTTAGGATATGAAATCTAGTAACTGCTTTTTATGGAGTGCACAGGAACCATGCTAAAGCTTTCACAGTCATTTTCTTATTTAATTCCCATAACAAAATATTCTTTATAGAATACCAGGGACAGGCCCTGGTGCATATTATCTTAATTAAATCATTACAACTCTGTGAGGTCAATATGATCACACCCATTTTACTGATGAAGAAACTGAGGCTTACCCAAGTTCTCAGATCTAGTAAATGGACCATCTGGGATTAAAGCTCAGCTGTGATTAATGCCAAGGCTAGCACCATCAACCACTCCCCCATGCTGTCTCTTTTAGTGTTTTTATTCCCCTCCAACTCTGCCAAGGGTTCCCAAAGCTCTATCTCTAAAATGTTAGTGTCAGGCCTCTAGTCTTGCCCAGGCCAATCCACCTTATTCCAAATATCTCATCATGCCATTTTTCTCTGCTCAAAATCCTTTAATATATTTATATCACCCTCAGGATGAAGACCAAAATCTTAAGGTAGTTGACAAGGTCCTACATGATTGGGGCCCAGATCTACTACAACTGGCCCTTAAACCCTGCTGTCTAATCACACCCACTCACTCTCTCATACCCTTACCTGGACTCTTTCATCTATCTGAAATGTCCTTGCCATATCCATCACCTACATCTAACTCTTACACAGTCTTCGAAGCACAACGCAGTTGTCACTTCATCTGGGAAGCCTTTCACAACCCACAGACTGGGTAAATGCCTCCTCTGGGCTCTTACAGTCCCCTTGCTCTCTCCATTAGGGTATTCATCACATTGACTATACTTGCCCATTCATGTAGCTACTAGGTTATGAGCTCCTGATTTGCAGAGATCAACCCATTCATCTTTATACTCCTAGTCCTCACTACAGGGCCCAACACACAAACAAGTGCTCAACAAACGTTTGCTGAACACCTTACTACACTCACCTTCTTTCGAGTGTTGGAATATACCATGGTGCTGCCCAACACAGGCCTTTGTACTTGCTGTTGTTTCTGAAGCCTGCAACATTCCCTCCTCCTCCAACCTCTTCCATGCCTGCTCCCACCTCATCACTTCAGCAACTCCTACTTTTCATCCATTCAAAAAATACTGAATGCCACCCAACTGCTACCAGGCACAATGTGACAAAATAAAATGACAGAGTGCCTATCCTCACAGAGCTCAGAGACTAATGGGGAGACATACATTAATATATAATGAAATCGTGTATGCACCAAGAAGGAAAAACACTGGGAGCTCTGAGATAAAATAATAGAGAAGACCAAACTTAGTCTTAAAAATCATGACGGACATGAAGTTTAAGCTGAGGCAGAGGTGATATGTCAAGTACATGTATTGATTCAGAGCCTGGAAGGAGCATGGGGCATTCAAAAAATTAAAAGACTGAGGGTGAAGAAAGCAAGGAGCATGGCTTGAGATGAGGCTGGAGATGCCATATTGTGCAGCAGCTCTGTGAATCAGTTAAGGCTTCCGAACTTTACCCTATAATCAGTGAGAAGTCACTGAAGGGTTCTGAGCAGAAAAGAAAGATACTCATTTTGAAAAGATCACACTGGCTGCTGGGTGGACAATGAAGGGTACAAGAGTAAAAACCAGGGGACTGGTGAGAGAGCTTTACAACAATCTGGAAAGACGTGCTGACAGCTTGAACTGGAGTGGTGGCAGTGGAAATGGAAAAAATAGATTTGCAATATGGTCAGGGGCAGAACAACTAGAACTTGGCTGAGAAAAAGAGAAGAGTTAACTATTTTAATTGAATAATTCATTGGATGGTTAGTTGTTTAATGTCTGTCTCACTCTCTGAACCATGGGACAGGGACCAGGTCTTGATTAGTTCCTTGCTGTATCTCCAGCATAGGACCACACACACAGTAGGCACTCAGTTAGTGTTTATTGGATGGATGGATGGATGGATGGATGGATGGATGGATGGATGGATGGCCAAGCAGAATGTCCCTCTCTGGGAAGGTGGGGACCAGCTCACCTCTGGGCATCAGGCTGTGAGATGGCATTGACAATGGCCTCCACACTGCTGTCGAAGAGCTCCGAGTCCTGCAGAGCAGTGAAGGCAGCCTGAATGAGCGCCTCGCAGTCCTGCAGTGGCACCTCCAGCTGCACCCAGCTGGAAAAGCACTTGAGTACCTTCTGACGCACACAGCTGGGTGAGCTGGGCTGCTGCAGCAGTTGCTCCAGCAATGGGAAGACAGCCCCACACTCCACAGCTAGGCTGGCCCGCACCAGGCCTTTGCGATACTGGGGCAGGCGACTGGTCTGAAATTCCTCAGGCAGCACTGTCAGCAGCTCTAGCAGAGCCAGGCAGCGACCCTGGCCATCCACTGGTGAGTCGTCAGCCTGGAAGAGTCGTACCATATCTGCCACAGCACAAGGCCAAGCATCAGGCATCATACTGAGAGCCAGCGAGGCCAGCGCCACACATAGTCGAGTCAGCACGATCTTGGAACCACTGGCAAAGCGGGTGATCTGGGTGAAGAGCTGTGCCTTTAGACTTTCATACTGGTCAGTGGGGATGTCACTCCAATAGCGAGAGATCTTGATGTGCAGGGCACTGGCCCCAAAGTACTGGATCTCAGGCACCTTGTCAGGCTGTAGTAACTGCCAGCTGAAGTGCCAGGCCTGTGGAGAGACCTGGGCCTGCATCAGCCACTTCTGAGCCAGGTTCTTGTTCTCAATGTTGGGGTCGTAGTAGAGCTGGTGCAGCGCCTGCAGGACAGCACAGGATTGAGCAGGTGCTGGCCACTCTGGATCCTGCCAGAGCCCAGAAAAGAGGGCGTGACTTGGTCCTGCAGGACTGCTCTCTCTTTCTGACTGGGGAGCTGAGCAGAAAGGGAGAGCTCAGGGTTCTGTAGTTTCCTGGGCCTGGGGTCCTGCAGATACCTTGAAAACCTGAATTTTGTCCATGCTCTACCATTATCCTCTTCTCCTTACAGCAAAACATTATGGGTTCAAAGAGTGAACCTTCACAAGAAAGCACACACGCAACCACACGAAGAGGAGGCTGAACACACCAAAGGGGATGCCTGTGAGGTAAAGGGCAAGGCCCAGGTGGAAGGAATGGCTCCATAGGGATGAAGCTAAGCCTGAGAAGAGCATAAAACAGCCTGAGGGGCCCTGACCCTCCCAGGCACAGCTGTTCCCATCAACTCCAAAAGCTCCATTCAGCTCCCCCAGGATCATCCCTAGGTCACTCCAGATGCTGGCACCAAAGTCAGTGTGAAATCTGAGAAGGATTAAGACTTTGCCAGGCAGCCCTTGTGCAGAGACATACTGGAGAAGGGGATAAGAAGACCTCTCAGAGAGCACATGGGAGGGTCCAAAGAGCTGGTCCAGAGAAGTCTTAGCCTTCAGCCCTGGTAAATGCCTAGCCTGGAGCTCTCAACTAGACAAATCCCCAGGGTCCCAATTCCACTGGGACTTCACACAGTAAGAAAACAGATTTATCTCCCTGGTAGCACATAGAACAGTGCGCCACCATGCCAACACTGCCCAGCCCCAGGGGCTGGAAGAGACCAGGGCTCTGACCACCTAAGTAGTCTCCATCCAAGTAGGCTTAGCTCTCTCTGTCCCTCTGACAGCCAGTTATGGCCAGTGCCCCTGTTTGGCTGCTTGGGGATACAGAGGCAGGCAGAGAAGAGAATCAGAAGGGATGCATCCTCACCATTTGGTATGGCAAACAGGGCTCAAGAATAACAAGAGTATCTGTAAGTACTCCTTATTTTCCATGAAGGTAGCCCTACCTCCCCATTAATTCCAGGGGGAAGAGGGAGCATTTCTGCATTCCAAGCCTGTATAGGCAGAACCCAGAAGAGAACCAGAGAAGTAGTTTTCAAAAGAGATGGATTGAGCAGTGGGGAAATCTGGGAAGACCATGGCAGGAAGCTATATGGGCAGATGAGTAGGAAAGAACCCCGAGGCTGCCAGCAAAACCAGGCCCTTTGGACCCAGCACAAAACAAAGGGGGCCAGCCATACTCCTGTCTGCCTTCATCGAATAAAGGAAGGACTCCTCTCTAAGAAAGAGTGAAAACATAACCCAGATTATTTTCTGAGATCCTGGCTCAACAAAAAGGGTCCAGGATGGTTCAGCATCAGTATGGTTCCTGGGGTTCCTGGTTTCTCACTGCACTGCTCATGCAGTTCCCACGGAGCTGGAGAATAGCCAATCTGGCTGGAGGTATATGCCATCAGCACCCTGGAGGGACCATCCCAAGACCCCAGAGTATCTATCCACAGAGGACCCATGTCTAAGGAAAGCCAAATATAGCCCATTAGGACACTGTAACACTGCTGTCCTGCCTGCCCAGAGACAGCAAATGCCAGGTGTCCAGGGGGCACCATCCCAGCGGGCACCCAGCCCAGGCCTGGGCTCTGGCATTAGTGTCAGTCCCCAGAACTTCTGCTCTGTCACTGGAGTGCCCACCCCAGGGCCCTCATACCTTCTCCACGTTCTCCACAGTGAAGTCCAAGGCTGGTGCTGCTCCAGCCCCTGCAGCCCCCGGCTGCTCCTCCCGCCGGTCCATCTTTGCACCCTCCCCAGCAGGGAGGTGGACCCTGACCTGTCTCCTGCCCCAGCCCCTTGGCTGCTGGCCGCCTTGCTAGACCCCGGCTTGGGTGCCCAGGAAGTAGTGTGGTGACAGGGGACCCAAGGTGGGCATGGCTGCCAAGGCCTCCCCACCTCGATTGGGGGTGAAGGGCTTGCCGGAAACCAAAAGGAGTGCTCTTAGGAGGAAACCCACTGAGGGGGGGCTCCAAGGAGGACCCTTCAGTGAGGAGATCTCAGGCGGGGGTCCTAGTAGTAGGTCACGGCTCTGTTTTCAGAATCTGTGAGGAGGGAGTCATAGGGGAGGGAGGCCTGTGGGGAAAACCGAGCCCCTGGCCCGTGAGGGGTCACAGGGTCGATGGCCGGTACCCACAACACCCTCGGCTGAGTGCGCTCCTGGGTCCTATCAGGAGGTCACTAGGGTGGGAGGTCACGAGGGAGAGAGCCCTTAGCGGGTTACGGAAGGCGTTCCAACGAAGCGCGGGGGTGCAGCTTCGACACTCGGGGGCGAAGAGTCCGTAATGTTGAGGGGCTGTGGGAGGGCCCCTCCGCTCGGCCTGGCCCGCGCTCTTCTCACCGCCCGCTCCGGCCCCGCTACCGCCGCTGCCTCCGCCCCAGTGACTGACAGGCAAGCCGGCCCGGCCGGGACGGGGCGGGGACCTCAGCGGTGCGGGCTGCCCCGAGCGCCTGTTCCCGGCACCGCCGACTCAGGCGCCGACCCTTCCCCGCGCCTGCCCTGATGCGGCCCGGCCCGGCACAGCCCAGCACGGCCCAGCGGAACTGCGGGGAAACTCATTCCGGGTCTTTGGTCCTGTCCTCGTGCCAGCCCGCGCGCCCCCGATCAGGCGACGGAACGGCGGGCCGCTCGAGGCCCCCGCCGAGCAAGGTCCCGCCGCTGCGCACCCTGGGAAATGTAGTCGTAGTGCGCCCAGCGGGAGGGCGGAGCCTCCAGGCGGAGGCCGGGAGCACGTGGCCTGGGGACCCGTGGAGCCCCGCGAGCCCCTGGCTTACCGGGACCGACAGGTACTCCCAGTGAAACAGGTGGGGGAGCTGCAGAGCAGCTCCCTAGGAGTGTGTGACTTTTAAGGGGTAGGTGGATGGAAGTGGGATCCCAGGCTGGAGGAAAGGGTGTGTTGGGGGGCGGGGGTAGGTCACTATGGTGCTCTGCTTCGGGTGCATCCTGGGGCCCAGGAAAGGGGCCGTGTGGGAAGAAGGCGTCAGCACCACTTTGAGAAGATAGGAGGCTTAGCGCGCCTCAGGAATAAAAAAGGACGGCTCTCGGAACCACCCAGTGAGCAACCAGGAAACCGCATACCATGGACAGTGCTCGGAGAATTTCATAAGGTTCTTGGAAGCGACTTCTATTTACATGTAATTAGAATAAGACTAGCTCACACCCAAGTGCTACACAGTGCTATGCACACCTTACGCATCAATTCTCAACAACTCTAAGGCGGAGATTTTTATGCACCATTTTCAGATGAGGAAACAGGTTGGGGAAAGGTGAACTTATCCTTGGACACTCAGGGTAGCAGAGATCATCATCAGGTATGCTTAGCGGCAGACCCCAGCAGTCCCTTACCTTTACCACTTGTCTTTTTATTAACTCTTGCCGGCTACCCCAGAGAGGGGTGCAGGGGAAGACCTCTATACTTGTGTTCAGTGGAGGAAACGCATTGGCAATATGCGCGAGGGCCTGAGAAGGCATCTGAAGGCTTTCCCGAGGAGGAGAAACTTGAATAGACAGATTTGGGGGTGGGGGGTGATTAACTGGTAAGCAAAGTCCAATGGGAATCTAGTCACTTAACAAATCTTTATCAAGAAAATGTTTGAAGTAGAGCTAGTAAGTTGTGTTTAGTCTAAGGCAGTGGTTCTCAATCTTCCACGAGTTCCTCATGTTGTGGTGACCCCCAACCATAAAGTTATTTTCGTTGCTACTTCATAACTGTAATTTTGCTACTGTTATGTCTTAGGCGACCCCTGTGAAAGGGTCGTTCGACCCCCAAAGGGGTCGCGACCCACAGGTTGAGAACTGCTGGTCTAAGGGGACATAGGTGGGGTGAGGAAGTGGGAGGGATGAGTAACAGGTGAAGTTGGAAAGACAAGTTGGGAGCAGTAGGCTCTTGAAAGAGTTTAGACTTTATCCTAAGTGCAATATGAATCCATTATGAGGCTTCAAGTGGGCATTGATGACTGGATTTCCATTTTAGAAAAGTCTCTTTGTGGTATGTAGGATAAGTTGAAGGAGGGAAGAGGAGAGGCAGGGGAGATTTGGAAGGAGGAAGCCAAAATAAAGCAACTGATTCCAGGTCTGTGCCCAGGGCTGTGAAATGCACTGGCTCTGATGCTGATGGAGATTTCATTGTGAAAGGTGGGAGAGGAGGAAGGTTAAGAGACTTGGGCCTATGTTTAAAACCTGTCTTTGCCTCTTTTAGCCATAAGACCTTGACTTCTGAAACTCACTTTGAAAAACATGAGAACAGGCCCTGGCCAAGTAGCTCAGTTGGTTAGAGTATCATCCTGATACACCAAGGTTGTGGGTTCAATCCCTGGTCAGGAATCAGCCAATGAACAACAAATCAATGTTTCTTATTTAAAAATGAGAACAGCAATTCCTCCAGTGAAGGACAAACTGAGATGATGTATGAACAGGGCTGGACCCAGAGACTACAACTTAATGAATGTGTTTTCTTCCTGCTTCCAGTCCAGGGTTTCTTCTCACCCCTCAGGGTTCCCCTGGTAGAGGAAAAAGCCAAGTCTCACCAACAATGGCTCCTGAACATGTTTCACAAACACCACCTGGGATAGACAGATTGAAATAGACCTGGGGATGTTGGGGATATTTGGGGTGCCAGACCAAAAGGGATGTCCGAGATATGGATAGCAATCTAGGATAACTTAGAGCCAAGTGGGGAATGAATCTTTGGGAGCTAGTTACAGATAGGTTCTTCCCTACTCTGAGGGACAAGAGTAGGATATATAGGGGCCAGAACTTGTGACAACCCTGGGATGGGTCCTCAGATTCAGGAGAGAGCATTCCAAAGCTCAGGAGACAGGGAGAGGGAGCTTCTGTTGGTCACCTTGAACTATTAGCAGCCTATATCTATGACAAATTAACTTCTCAGTTTGAAGCTTTTCAACCTTCCAAAATAGTGTGAATTTCGTAGTTAAGCATTCTCAGAGGAGGTTTCCCTCCTTCCATTTCGCACCAAGGTGAAATGCAGGCAATTTTCTCAGTAGTCCCCTGGTTTGAGGGAGAGAGGTTAGGTAGAGGAGGGGCAGGTTTATTTCTAGTTCATCCTTAAGTGTGGGCATAGCCTTTGGGGTCCCAGCCTTATAGGGAAGTTTCTGGGTAGACTCCTTAAGCTCAGGAGCCCTCACAAGCCAATGCTCAGGTTCACCAGGTAAGAAACATGCCCTCAAGGTGAAAGCTAAGTTTACCTTTGTAGCTTCCTACTTTTTAAAATTTGGCCTGACTATTTCTTGTGTTTGCCAGCTCATGGATGCATTTAATTTTTAAAAATATATATTTTGTCTAGTATTTTTCATTGTTCTCAGCAAGAAGTTTAGCCTGAGTCCCTAGGCTACCATGTTGCAAGAAAACCCAGTGGGCAGTTTCAGTCCCTATATGACTTGATTTTTCTGCTGCATTCGGCCCTGTTGACAACTCCCTTCCCCTGTTTTTTTTTTTCCCCTACCACTCTGACCACTCCCTTTGGTCTCCTCCACAGGCTTGCCCCTCTTCCTCTCCCTGTTCCTTAAATGTTTGTTCTCCGGGCCTTCTCCTCTGCTTCTCCTCTTATTCCTCAGCATCTCACCACTCTTTTGGCTTTGAGCTGTGATGCCCAAGACTCTCTTGTCCGGACTTTTCTGAGTTCCAACCCTCATATTCAGCTGCTACCATATTCAGGTGCCCTCTGAAGGTGTCATAGGCACCTCAAATTGAATTGTATAAAACCGAACTCATGATCTCTCCCACACCTTACTCCCATCACATGCTAAACATACTACATTCCCTATATTCTTTACCAGTCACCCAAGCCAGAGCCTTGGAAATGCTCCCTTTCATCAAACTCTCACAACCAGTTCGTCATCAAGTCCTGTTTATTATTATTTATTTATTTAATCCTCACCCGAGGGCATTTTTCCATTTTGGTTCAGATAGAGTGGAGGGGAGGGAGAGAGAGAAAGAGAGAGACAGAGAGAAACACTGATGTGAAAGGGACACATCGAGTGGCTGCCTCCTGCACAACCCCAACCAGGGCCGGGGACAAACTGCAACCGAGGTACATGCCCTTAGTGGGAACCGAACCCGGGTCTCTCTGGACTGCAGGTCAACACTCTAACCGCTGAGCCAAACCGGCCCGGGCACGTTTATTATTTAAAAAAATTTTTTTCTTTATTGATTAGAGAGGGGAAGGGAGAGAGAAAGATAGAAACATCAATGAGAGAGAACATTGATTGGCCAACTCCTGCATGCCCCCCACCGGGGATCGGGCCCACAACCTGGGAATATGCCCTGACCGGGAATCGAATCGGCAGCCTCTTGGTACATGGGTTGATGCCCAACCACTGAGCCACACCAGCTGAGCAAGTCCTGTTTATTGAGTCTCGCTTCAATTCTGTCCTTCCACACTGCTTCTGCTCCAGATCAAGACCAACATTTGTTTCCTGAACAGTTTAACTGCAGCAGCTCTAACTGGTGTCCACTGCCTGTCCCCTTCTAGTTCATATTAGACACAGCACCCAGGGATTCATCTGAAACACATTGCTAGCCAATCCCACTTAAAACCTTTCCGTGGCTCCTCTCAGGACAAAGTCCAAGCTCCTTGTTATAGCATTCAAGGACCTCATAATCTCTCTAGCCTGTTGTCTTGATGAGGGCCCTACCCCAATTCTGTATGGAATTGCTGTCTATCCTGGGACACATAAGGCTGCCCCACACTTCCCTGTCTTTGTGCTACTGCTTCTACTGAGAAGGCTCTGTGTCAGGCTGGGGCCAATCAGGAGACACCACCCAATAAGCACACAAGGATAGTTTAATATAAGAGTTTTGAGCTGTAGCAGGACATTGAAGTAAACAGGGATTGGCTGGTAAGAAGTGAAGAGAACTCTAAAGAATTTAGGAGTAGCAGAATCCTAGGGCTGAGACAAGGGATCCCAGGAAGAGGCCCTCATTCATACCTCTGCACAAAGCTGAGACACAGACCTTGCTAGAAAGGGCATGGTCAGTGAGAAGGGTGAGTTTAGAACTGAGAGTCAATGAGGTGATAACGGATAACCAGTACAGGCTCAATGCCCTTCATCCACCTTGTGCAAATATTTGATTTTTCAAGTCTTGGTTCAAGTGCCACCTACTCTACTCCATGAAAACTTTTGTGGCTCTTCCTCCCCTTCCATTCAAGTAGAGTCGATTCCTCTCCCTTTGTGTGTAGAATCTTCCCCCACCCTGATATATATAGCTATACCCTAGTCATACTTCCACTGGGGGACTTATGATGGTTAATTGCATTTTTTAGTTTACTTGTTTACCCCCACCTAGGGTTGCCAGAAAAAATACAGGACACCCAGTTACATTTGAATATCACCTAATTATTGCACGAGGCACACTTATTTTTTAAAAAGTATTATTGTTTATCTGAAATTCAAATTTAACTAGATATCTTGTATTTTTTTAAAAATATGTTTTTGTTGATTTTTGAGAGAGAGAGAGGAAGGGGGAGAGAGATAAAAACATCACTGTGAGAGAGAAACATTGATTGGCTGCCTCCTGCATGCCCCCTATTGGGGATCAAGCCCACAACCCCTGCATGTGCCCTGACTGGGAATCAAACCAGGACCTCAGTCCATGGGACAACCCTCAGTCTGCTGAGCCACACTGGTTGGGCAACATATCCTGTATTTTTATTTGCCAAACCTGGCACACTTACCCCACCTCTACCTCCAACTGTAGTCTCCTTAATGGTAGAACATGTTTTTGGCTGACCTCTGAATTCCCATTGCTAGCTCAATGCATTACAGCTAGTGATCAATTAACGTTAAGAGAATAGTGACTTCTCTGGCTGCAGAGTTGAGAATGACTGGAGAGAGCTGAGGCTGGAGACAGAGACCAGTTAGGAGGATGAGGAATAAACCATTCCCTAAATCACAAAGGCTTCAACAGAGTAGGGGATGAACTTGCAAGATCTAAAGATCTGAGGACCAATGGATAAGGGAAGTGACTGAGCTCAAGGAGTCTAGGATGTTGCCCAAGTGTCTGGTTTGTGTCTGGATAGAGGGAACACTGGAGGAGGTTTGGAAGCTGGAGAGCAGGGGAGATCATTGATATGAGGCTCAGAGAAGGGTAGAAAAACATGGAGAGTGGATCTGAAGGAGAGAAGGGAAGATTCCCAGGACAGATATGTTAAGTTTGAGGTTTCAGAGGATATTCAAACAGAAGTATTGGAAATATGGACTTGGAGCTCAGGAGAAAGGTCCAGGCTGGAGAAACAATGTGACCATCATCAGCATGAAAGTGGTAACCGAAACCATGGGAGTAGATACTGTTGCTCAGGGAGAGAGTGGAATGGGAAGAGAGGATGGCCTATACCAAAGCCTCAAGGAACACTTGAGAGGCAGAGAGAGGAAAAGAAGCTCAAGAGTAGTCTGAGAATGAGCAGCTGGAGGCTTGGGAGAAAAAGAGAGTATGGGAGCAAGACAGCCAATGGAAGACAGGTTTTCAAGGAGAAATGACAAATTTGAGTATTTCTGAGAGTTCAGAGGACAAGGCTGAGAAGTGTGGCCTTTGGGTTTAGTAATGATGAGGCCACTGGTGACCTCAGCAACAGGTCTTTTAGTGAAGGAGGGGAATACACACACACACACACACACACACACATACGTATATATAAACACAGTGTCAATTTGGTTTAATGCTGTGATACATTTGAGCAGGTTTAAATTAAGAGGGAAAGAAAATATTCAATTAAAAACAGTTGAAGAATGGGGGGGTTTGTAAATAATTGAGACCAAGTTCCCTGATATGCAGTCCTGAGTACAGATGGAGGAATTAACTTAGCTACAGGAGGACATTAATAATAGCATCTAGAACAGGACATCATACCTTGAGGGTCATGGACTCCTAAGGAATCCAAATGAGCTTCAGCATCTGTGAACCCCCTAAAATTGTTTACTAGATTTATACATCAGAGGTTTTCAAGCTTTTTTTTTGCAGGGGGTAGGGGAGGATCCTTGGCTTTTATCATGTTCTGTAAGGAGTCTACAACTCCAAAACAGGTTAAGCATTCCTGTGAACAAGAAAGGTGATCTCATATGGCAGTTCTAGATCTGTTCTCTGATCTCTCAGCTTTCTACCCATCTCGTCTTTGCCGAGATGAGACCCCAGTCAGCCAGTCCCCATACACTCTATCACAGGGTCTCCAGCCAGGGGAAATATGGCAAATCGTGGGCAAGGGAGGAGGAAAGCAGTTGGTAGGGGGAGCACATGGAACCCTAAGCCTTGATTCTTAAATGAAACAATGCTAGAGGAAAGTTCTGGGTGCTCCCTAAAGTGGAAAAACAGCCACCTGTAGTTTTCTGTCTTACAAGAGGTGGTGACTTGATCCTCCTCTGGAGGAGACCATACCATTGTTCTGGGAAGGCCACTCAGGCAGGCAATGGGGACAGTGGCGTCTTAAATGTGAAACAAAGACTACAGCGGCCCCCAGGGGTGAAATCCGTCTGCCTGGTGAGGTCATGTTCCAGGTGACCTCTGCTAAGTTGTAGCAAAGAAGTGCAGCTCTTGTTTTCTTTGGGGAAAATAGCTTTATTGTTATTATTTTGTTTTAAAAAGCGATTTGGGTGGTTGTGAGCTGCAAACTGAGACTCGTTCTTGTGGGACTGTTCCTCTCGGAGAAGTGGCCATTTCGTCGGGGACTTTGTGAGATGTTGGGCACAGTCTCCCTGGGGTCCATGAGTGCAGCCTTGAGTTTGGGGGACCCTACTCCCTCAAGGACTGGCAACTTGGGGGGGTGTTGGGAGCCAGCACCTTTGGCTCGAGCTCCGACCTGCCTCCCTCGCTGTGAGCGCTGTTAGAGATGGCTGCACTCATCTCCGTAGGCGGCTCTGAGAGCAGAATGTCCAGAAGGGTGGGGGATGGAGGGTATGGCAACTAGGCCAAGCTTTCCAATCTCTTCAGCAGGGGCTCCCTGGACCCAGTGACCCTGGAATTAACAGGATGTTCTCCTTTGCCCTCACCCAGGGACAGGGTCCAGGCCTTTATGAGGTATGTGCAAACTGTATGGCACTGGTACCATTTTCTTTGTGGGGGTGGGGAGTGTGGGGAGTGTTTGGAGACTGAGGATCCTGAACCTGTTTGGAGGTAGAGAGAGGGGCCAAGGGGGTGTTTGAGGGTAGCAAGAGAGCACTGAAGTTTGGGGAGCACCTAGAACGGGGGCAGTGAACACAGAAGAGCACAGGTTTGTTTCTCCTCCTTGACCCAGAATGAGCACAGCCCTTAGCTCTTGCCAGCGCCTCACTCTGGTCTGGGCAAAAGGGGCACCGGTGCCAAAGCAGGCACTGCAGCAGTTTGGAAGGAGGGTCAGCAGTGTCCAATGCCGGAGGGACCCCACCCTGGACCCACCTCTCTCATGGTGCTCTGCTCCCGGCTGCAGCCACTGCCTGTGCTCACAGCTGCCAAATCGACCTTCAGACCAGCATATCCCACTGCCTCCCGATAGCCCCTCTGGATGTCCCTCAGAGTCTGTGGTTCCTCAGACTCAGCATCCTTCCCAGAGACGTGTCCCCATCTTATTTCTAAAGAAAATCACATAGGACAAATTCATAGGACCCGAGAAACAAGGTTTCAGGGGACATGCAGAGAAGCTCAGAGGGATTCATTGACTTTTTTGGAGATGACTCGGGGACAGTGTGGAAGGCTAGGGTCAGGACTAACCTCTTCTTCCTTCCAGATGGTGTAGAACTCTTAGCTTCTTGTCCTTTGTCATATTATTTGTCAAATTGAATTTAAATAATTATTTATGTAATTAGATACTATCTGTCTCTCCTAGTTTAACCTTAAGGGCAGAGACCATGTCCCCTTCATTTCTGTGTCCCTGATGTCTACCCAGTATCTGACATATAACAGGTACTTAATAAATATTTGTTGAGTGAATAAATGGATATTCTTGTTCATCACCCAAGATGCAGATCCCTCTTGGGGCCCTCGGTCTTTTCCTGTATTCTTAGCCCTTTGACGCTCTGTGCTTTGTCTCCCCCCCCCCCCCGCCACGCCAGCTTCCCACTGGCCTTTTCAGATGCTCTCTCGTCCTGGGCTGCTTCATGCAATGTGGGCAGTGAGCTCCCCGTGCCGGGCCATCTGCAGTTGGAGGCGGTAAATACACCTGTCATGGTGCCCTGAGGGTAGGACACTGATCAATGACTTGGGTGGGGCAATGTGTGGTTTTCTGTGTCATTACTCATTAAGCAAGGCCCCAGGATGCTTGAGGTCACAAGGGTAGAGCTTTCTCTACCAATAACCCCAAGCCCCAAGTGCTGGGGACTGTGCAGGGGGCTGTAAGCTGGTCTGTCAGGACTGGTGAACGAAACTTTGCCACCCATTCCATGCCCCCCATGTCCCAGAACTGCTGGTTAGAGGAAGCAGTTGGAGATCCAGGTCAAGCCTGTGATTGCTGAGTCAGTTGGCAATTGTGAGTGGGAAGCTCAGGGCCTGATCTCCAGCCAGCTGCTTCTACCCATCTAGCTGCCACTGCCCAGGAAAGGATCTCACAAACCACTGAAGTAAATAAATAACTTAGAAATAATAAATAGGGGTCCAGTTCCCAGGAGTGAGTCCCAGGCGCGCTCCAGCCCAGGCTTCAGCAGTGCGAATGCAATCTGTCTCCTCCATTTCTGTCTCCACTCAGGGCCTGGGCTGAGGCTGAGACCTCAAACACTGCTGGGTTCTCCAGAAGAGGAGTCCTGGGTCTGTGGCCTGGTCAGTGCTAGAGTCTGTGAGAAGTGAGTCCTAAGGCCTCCATAGCCGAGGTTTCTGGTGTCTGTAGGGCTGGGACTAGGAGGGTCAGGACTGTCGTCCCTCTATCTCTCCACGGTTGATGCCCATCACTCGCCCAGCTGAGGCCTGTGATGTCCATCTCTGGTTGAGGCCCCGGGTCCCTTCCAGGCAGGAAGATCCCCGGTAAGGGTGCCATCTGCAAATCCTTGGCCAGAGTTCTCAGCCCAGGCAGCCACAGGCAGTGGCTGAGAGCTTATCCACGGTCCTCCAGGTGCTGTTGATATCCATGAAGGAGACCGCCTCGTAGTGCGTGGGTCGGCAGCAGGGCTGGCTGACCGGCTGGGAGCCCGGAGGCGGCTGCAGGGCCCCAGCGCCCAGCAGGTTGGCCAGGCTAAGGTCGTGCGGGGAGCGCGCTCTGCGGCAAGAGCCGCTGCAGAAGCGGAAACGCACCAGCTCATTGGAGTTGTGGCCCAGGCCGAGCGCGCCCACCGGCACCAGCTGCGAACGCAGGCGGCAGCCCCGCACCACCGTGGCCCGCGCGCGGTTCCCCCGGCTCGCTCCGCCACGTCGGCCTCCCGCACGCGCTGCGCGGCCCCCGCGGGAAGGAGCGGGCGAGGGCGCGGGCCGGGGCGGCTGTGGGGGCGGCCGCTGGGCCCTCCCGCTGCAGGAACGGTACACGCGGCCACCTAGAATAAGACGGAATCATGCGCGGGGTTCCAGGCCAACCCTGTCGCCACCCTGCCCCCTGCCCTCTCACCTACCCGTCAGGTGGCCGGCGGGGGGCGCCGGGGCTGGGGCGGGGCCTCCAGGGGTGGCGGGGCTGCGGGGGGCGAGGCCCAGGGAGGCCTCAGCGACACTGCTCAGCAGGACCAGAGTGGCCAGGGTTGGCCACAGGGCAGGCTGCTTAGAGAGACAAAGTGGAGCCTGAGGGAGGAAGAGGGCACCCAGGAAGGCATGGGGCAGTAGAGATCAGCGAGGATGGCTTCCAGGTGGGTAGGGAGAGCTCAGCAAGGGCTTACGTTGGAGGATAATGGGCGTGCTGCCTAAGGGAGCCAAGAGAAGTCACCTGAGGGCACTGACCTTCCTCCAGACTCCTGGCCCCTCCCTGACCATTTCCCTTTTCACTTATGACTCCTGCCCAGGGCAAACCCTGCTCTCCCTCCCAGTCAAGCCGCCGTTCCTCAATACCAGGTGGGAATGGTTGGGAGAACACTCACCTGCCGCGTAGGTGGGGTCCAGCGGAGCAGCACAGGAGGGCCTCCACATCCAGGCTCCATCTCTGTCAATACCAGGGTCTCCCCTCAGCCTAGTTGACCTGTTCCCCCATCCTCTTCTTGAGGCAGCTTGGAACATTGAGAGATGAGTTTTCTTTGAGAAGGTCATCCCTCGACTTCAGTTTCTCCAGATGAGGAATAACAGTTTTGGATAGGTGGACTCAACCCAGGACAAGTAGCTGCATCAGGAACTGAATTATGTGTCGGTGCTTTGCCCATTCTCTCTCTCTGTCTTTACAACTCCATGAGGTGAATGGTGTAATGCCCATTTTCTAAATGAACTCAGAGAAGCTCAGCAATTGTCTAAGGTCACAAGGCTAGACGCACACAAAAATGACCCCCCCCCCCCAACCTTCAGCTCTGTTCTGCAGAGCTAGGGCTGCCAGGACTAACTGGAGAAGGGAGTTGCTGGACCCCTTTGGTCCTCCAGACAGCTTTCTCTCCATGCCATACAGGAGGAAGCTGTGGCCTGAAGAATTAGGGTGCTTGCTGGTTGACCCAAGTTGTCTGATGATAGTGAGGTCCAGGCCTCAGCCTGTGCTGCCCACCCAATGCTGCTGAACCTTGTTCCTCTGTAATCTTTGGACCCAGAGCCACCTGAGTTCTCTCTTCTCACAGATAACCCTCAAGAGCCAGCAGATGGTGGGGCCTGATGGACTAAGAACAGAGGGCCTGGTCCATGGCTCCCTATGGCCACCAGGGGGCAGCATCTGCCAAGCATGCAGACTGAAAGTGGGGGTGGGCTTTTCCCTACCCTCAGCCAGACTCAGACCTGAGCAACTCCCAGGAGGGCCTGCCAAAGCTCCACACCAGGCTGGCCCCAGAGCTGAGCTCCAGGTGTGTCCGTCTTCCACTTTCCTGTGGATCTGACAGCCTGGCCGGGCTTGGAGTCTCCTACGTGAGCCATCCTTTCCGAGCCCCACCAGATTTCGAGAGCCCATACTGGCTGGCACTCCCAAACACCCTTTGGGGCCCTACAGTCCTCCTGAGCCCCCACTAGCTGGCCTGCAATTGGGTCCCAGCTGTCACCTGCACCCTTAACCCCTAGCACATAGAATGTCTGCATACTTGTGGGTCAGACTTCCACAGGCCTCCCTGGTGTGGTCCATCTCAGGTCCAAGTGTGTTCAACTAATTGAATAGGGGCACTGAGGGGCCAGGCCAGTGACTGTTCCACTGATCGAGGGAAAGCCAAGCAAGGTAGCCTTCAGGGCCCCTGTGCTAGGAGGACCCCAGGAGCAGGTCTCTTCAGGGCAGCTAGGCCCTTTCTCCCTCCTGGTGGTCTGGGGCCACTTGGTCCTCCAGCCTTTGCCTCCGCATCTGCCAGCTGGATACTCACCATGAGGGTCCTGCACCGTGTTCTTCTAGGCACCTTCCTTGGGACCAGTGCTGGACTTTTCCCCGCAGCTCAAAAGGCTCATGCCCAGGGCTGTGCACCTGGCAATGCCTCTTTTAGCCAAAAGCGTGGCCTTGGCAGCCAGTCTGTGCCCTGTAGTGGCAGCAGGAGCCTCACATTACAGTGGGTCGGCAGGGCCAGCACAGTCAGACAAGCGACCAGAGGGACTGAGGGGGCTGGGAGGGAAGAAGAGCTGCGCAGCAGGCCCAGGAGAGGGAGGATGTGAGAAAGTGGTGGGGGACTCTCCTGCCTGCTCCCCTTAACCCCAGGGCTGGGACCGCTGCCATTCACACCCATTCTCACTGGTTGGCTCAGCTCAGCCAGCTCACAGGGCAGGAGCAGGCTAGGCTGTTGTCTCTCCAGCCTTGTGACCCAGCTGCCTTCCCACCGAGCTGGGGAGAGAGGCGCTGTGAGGTCCAGGAACACTGGGCAGGAGGTCAGCTTACCTCAAGTGCAGGGCTCTGGGTCCGGGACGCAGCAAGGGCTTGGGCCCAAGGGACCTGCTGCTGGAGGAGCTCATGGGCCGTGTCTGGGGGCTGGGCCCAACTCCATCCCTCAGCAGCCTCATGCCTGCCGCCGTCGCCGTCCGGTGTCAAATTCCAGCCCCAGCGTCACTGAATCCCGGGGTGGGGCCCCAGCGCCCCTGCCCCGCCCCACCTTTCAGGGTTCACCTGGTCGCTCCACCCGCTGGGATCCGGTCCCCCCCTGGCTCAGCTAAGTCCCCCAAGGTGAAGGGGTGGACGCTGGGAACTGGAAAACCCAGGACATAGTGTGGAGAACTCGAGCAGCAGAGAGGCGAGGAAAGTGGGCGTTCAGTTTGTAGACACGCGAAGTAGGAGTGGGGAGGCTGGGCTAGGGCGGGAGAGGGAGGGGACAGGCTGATCCCTGCCTTGGGCCACCGGCCCTATGGTTTGTGCTGCCTCTGGGGTCCTGGCTGGGCTGCCCTGCAGTGACCTTCTCTCTGCTCTGTGGTCTGCAGCTAGTTTTTTTCTTTCAACACACCCATCAAACTCGTTGGATGGGCCAGGAACTGTGCTGGGGCTTTCGAGGTCTGACCCCGCTCTAGCCCTGCCGCCCCCTATCCCTCGCAGCTGGGGGGAGGGGTGCTGGGGCTCGGAGTAGAGACACACCTGTAAACACCGCTGCTCACCTGCACAGCGAGGGCAGTGCTTGTAGAGTGGGTGCCCAGGGCTGAAGAAGGGGGGTCATGGAGGAGGGACATTGTGCTCATGCTTGAGTAGGAGCTGGAGGGTAGTGTTTCAGAAGCGTAATTATGGCAGTTTGGCAGGTGGGGTGGAGGTGGGGTGAGTAATATGAATAGAGGTAAGGAAAAGCCAGATGCTGTGTCATACCAGGGAGTCTGGACTTTATCCTAACGATACCAGGGACCACCGAAGGGTTTCAGGCAGGAAATGGTGTACCAGACTTACATTCTATGACTGCAGTGGGATGGATGATGGGGGTTTGGAGATGAGACGTGATGTCAGAAGGCTGCTCAGGGAGCGGAGTGGGAAGCAGAGAGGTGGGGAGAGTGGAGGTCACTTCACAGGTTCTTTCAGGACCATAGCTTTCTGAGAACCCAGCTGGTGCCTGACTGGGTGGGCTGAGGAGGTGGGGCAGACACTGGCATGCCCCTGGCCTGGGTAACCGGGTGGAGGGGATGCATTCTGGCAGGGAGGGCTCCCTGGAGGAGGGGCAGGAGCTCCCGAGTTCACTGATGGACATGTCAAGTAAGGAGGACCTGTGGATGTTCCTAGTGGAAAAGTTCAGGATGCAGCTGAATTTGGAGCCTGGAGTGGACAGAAAGAGCTGGGCTGGAGATGGCAATATGGGAACTGCCAACCAACTGACAGTTGGAAACTGTGGGTGGAAATGAAAGTGCTCAGGGAACATGTATGGACCAGTTGTAGCCTGGCTGTGCATTAGAACCACCTGTGGACCTTTTAAACTACCCACATCTGTGCCCAGCCGGTATGGCTCAGCGGTTGAGCGTCGACTCATGCACCAAGAGGTCACCAGTTTGATTCCTGGTCAGGACACATGCCCAGGTTGTGGGCCAAATCCCCAGTGGGGGCATACAGGAGGTAGCCAGTCAATGTTCTTTCTCATTGATGTTTCTACCTCTCTCTCCCTCTCCCTTACTCTCTCTCTAAAATCAATAAACAAACAAAAAAACTACCCGTATCCAGGCCCCGCCCCAGACCTGAATCAGAATCTTGGTGTGGGCGTGTGCCATTTTCCAAATCTGCACAGGTGATGCTGGAGTACGGCCAGGGCTGAGAACCACTGCTTTTGTGAGAGCAGTTTCTGTGCACAGGTGAAGACTACAAACTAGACCACAGAGAACAGAGGGGCTGTCTACAGGCCTGAAGGACCCCTGCGGGGCAGGAGGCCAGGTGGTGAGCAGCTCCACTGTCTGCTGCCTCCCACAACTGGCTGCCCAGTTGGGGTGGCTTCCCTGGGGCTTTATCAGCCATGGCTGTGGCTTGCAGCCTGTGCCCCGTACAACTCCAGGGGGCACCATTCATGCAGGATACAGTGTGCCTTAGAAATGTACAGTGTGCGTTAGAAATGCAGAATACAGTGTGCATTGAAATTGTGCATCATAGCAGCCCTGAGGGGTGTCTGGACTTGCCTGTCGCTCAATCAGGGCCTTGCTTTCTCCTCAGCTGAGGAGGCTTCTGCCTGAGGACAAACCACAGCAATAAATGAACCTGTGGGAAGTCGGTGGCCCTTGGAATGGCCAGGACTCTCGGATGGGAGTGGCAGGTGAGAGGTGAGGGGGCCAGCCAGCCCCACTCACTGCCACCGTGGCAGCTCTGGCCGGAAGCTCAGTCCTTGGCCTCAGGTACTGGCATGTATTCAGCCCATTCTCAGGCCTGCTGGGGATGCTGGGGAAGGGGATGGGGATCGGATCCCGGGGTCTAAGTGGGTAAGATGGGATGAGACACCATTTGTGATATTCGCCAGAGGGTGCCTGGGGCTGGGCTACGCCTTCCTGTTCTGAGTGAGAAGAGAGGAGCTAAGGGGAGAGGGTGTGCCTATGTGCTGAGGGTGGGGGTGGAGCAAGTCCTTTCCAGGACTCAGCCAGGGGTGCCAGGAGTGGGCTAGGTCTGTGGGCCTGTGTTGGGGGCTTAGCAGGGAATCTTTCCTGTACTTGCAGGAGTCTGTCCCTGCAGTGCTGGGGCTGTGGTGACCCAGAGGCACTGTCCTAGAACTGTGAGCTTCAATCCCCTGCCCTTTGGCTCCTTTGGGAGGCATCAGGGTAGACTCTGGGGTAGGTCCTGATACCCCTGGTCTACCTCTTTCAAGGCAAAGAGGGTGCAGGGCTGTGGGGGATGGGAGAGGCTCCAGAGGCCCCTCAGTGGTTACACAGGTCCTGCAGTTGACACAGTGAAAGGACCCAGGCATCGGTGAGCTGCAGAGATGGCCCTTGAGTTTAGTATAGTTGCTGAGACCCCAGGTTCCTGTTTCTTTTAGGAAAGTAAGAAAAAGCAAGAGGCCAGGTTCAGGGAAGAGCTTTATTGCTTCCACGGTGGCTGCCACAGCCTGGGTACGGTCCTTCAGCCTCACTTCCCACTGGTCCAGGCTTAAGGCTTCACTGCTCAGACCCAGAGAAGCTGCCAAGTCGGTCAGCCCAGGCCTGGGGCACTGTCCTATGGATCAGTAGCAGCTGGGGAGGGGCCATTTCCCTCGGGCTGGGCCAGGCCTCGCCTCCTGAGCTCCGAAGGTCTCTCTGCTCTAGCCCGGGGGCTGTCTTGTTGGCTTAAAGGACAGCTCCAGTGTTTCCCTGTGGGACAGCTAGAGGCTGGTGTGTGGGAATACCCCATCTTCTCCCCAAGAAAGGCCAAATAGTGTCATGAGCTGGCGGGAGCTGGCATTGGATCCTGCCTACCTCCCTGTAGCTCCGGAGCAGGCTACAGCTCAGCATGGCACCCCACTCTCCAGGGAGCCCACTCGCACCACTGCCTGATGGGCCCTCTGCTGGGCTTCTTTCTGCATGGCAAGCGGACCAAATTTGACATCTCCAATCTTGTTTAAAAATAAATTATCCCCCCTCCCCCCACCCAAATTCACAAAATTATAATACAACAAACACTGATTGGAGAAATAATTCCGGCAGCTGCCTTGCGGCCTAACGCCCGCCTCCTGCATGCTGGGCCTGCTGGCTCGCCGTGGCCTCCTGGCGCTCGGGCTTCAAGGATCCAGGCTGAGAGTGAGGCCGAGGCTGGCCTCTGAGCAGACACGGCTCTGGCTGCCCTGCCAAGGCCTCGCCACCCCTGGGCCACTCCGCGCTGTCCTTCTCTGGGTCTGAAGGCTCCTGTGCCTCTCAGGCAGAGCCAGACCAAGGCCAATGAAGTGGGCAGGTGGCGGCGGCTGCTGCTTGCTCTGGGCGGTGCCAGGACCTCTGTGGCCATGTGCTGGGCCCATTTCAGATGCCACTGGTTAGGTCAGTGATGACGCGCGCTTTCACCAGCTTCCGCAGAAACTCTTTCTCTCGCTCAATATTGTGTGTCCAGGACTGGAAGGAAAGCGGTGGAGACGCGGTCAGTTGGGCAGCCTAGGTGGCTGCTGGCACACAGCCCTGCTGAAATGCACCCCCCAGGGTTCAGTGTCCTCTTCTGACACTACCATCCAATGCTCTGTGCCACAGTTCATCCTCCTCCCTCCCCAGAAGAACTATGCCTCTTAATTTCTTGTAAGAAGATGTAGGAGACACAGGCTTTCCAACCCTGTTCCCTAAGACTTCAATCCTCCTTATCCAGCAGTACGTCTGGGCACCAGGTCCTAGGCCCCTGAGGACTGGCAATGTGAATCACTTAGGTTCTGCCCAGCCTGGGGGGTGGACCCTGCTGAAAACAGCCACATGGGGCGGCTTAGTCATGCTCTGGTCTCATGCAATCCAGTTCTCCAGGCCTGGGGGCATTGATGAAATCTTGCTTCTCAGATCAGAGGGGCCAGGAGGCCAGAGGGCAACAGGCGCTTCTCACTGTTAACGTGGAAATTACAGGGCAGATGCTGCCTTTTCCTTGGGAAAGACCGCGCCTAGGCTCAGGTTCTTTCCTGTCCCCAGTACTCACCAGAAAGCTTTGATAACTAAGCCTTTCAAATCATGAAAAAGGACTGAATGAATGATGACTGAATACCAACAACCGCGTACTGGCATTCACTCGTAGCTGGACTGCTCTGCTGCGTCTGTCTGCACTGAGCCTCCCACGGTGAACTGGCAGCCACTAGGCAGCGGTGCCGAGAACTCCGAGCTCTGTCTGGTCCTCACACTGATCCAGTCAACTCTCTCCGACCTGTCATCGTCCTCTGCCGTCTGCGAGTTGCCCATCCTTGTTGCAGACCCCTGGGCAATTTCCCCTCATTCCTGAAAGTCTCAAGAATCTGTCTCCCTCTCTTTGAAGGCAGGGACGATCTGGCACAGAGTAGGTGTTCGATAAATACATGTTGAACGGAACTAGATTTTATAGGTAAGAAAGTGGAGGCTTGGAGGCATGGCAGGGCCAGGATCCAAGCCAGTGGAGAAAGTCCTGGAGCTCTTTCCTTACCCCACGGAGTGAACGCTCAGCAGAGGACTGGGTGTGTGAGGATATTAAGGAAGTACTGTTAATTTTTCTAGGTGTGATAGTGATATTACAATAGTAGAAAATAGGCCTTATCTTTTTGAGTGACTTACTGAAATATTTATGGCTGAAATGATATGATATCTCAGACTTGTTTCCAAATAATCAGTGGGGAGTGCAAGTATGAGAGGAAAAAACAGATGAAACCCTGGCCGTGTGCTGATAACTGGGGCGCAGGGTGGGGGTGGGGGACAGGTGACAGCTACATGGAAGTTCATTATCAGTCTCTATATTGATATGTTTGACAATGTTCATAATAAAGAGCAAACAAAAAAGTCTGCCTGGGTGTAGCTGTCAGCCCAAGCAATGCCCCCTCTCGAGTGCTCTCTCTCCTTAACTGCTCCCCCATTCTCAGCACTGTGTCTGCCCTGTCTGCGGGCGGGGCGGGAGTCTGACCTGGGGCCCAGCCTCACTAGGACCTCTGCTTCTGGATGCAGATGTCCATCCCACTCTCCTGTAGTCATCTCTGGCTCCTTTTCCTTCACCCAGTCATTAAACATTGGGGTCCTAGGGTGCTGCCTTGACTGTCTGTACTTCTGTCTGTCATCTCCCTGGGAAGTCGGCCCGGTGCCTGCCCTGTATCTGAACATGCAGTGGTGCTTGTAACTCACAAACCCACATCTCCAGCCTGAATGTCTCTGCTGTGTTTGGTTCGGCGTCTTCATCTCTTGCCCAGTCGGTGGGGACCGCCTGCCAACTAGTTCTGTTCCTGCCTTGTCCGCCTCTATGTCACGCTAATCCTGAGCTTCACATGCTTCGGCTCTGTGGCTCCCTCCAGCCTTCAGAGCAAAGTCATAGCCTCACCACGGCAGAGAGCCCTTCGTGATCTAGCGACTACGGTCTACGGTCTTTCAAGTCTACGTAAAAAGAATACGTAAGAGAACAAATGTGTAAGTAAACAGGCCAGTGGACAAAGGCTGTGAGAAGAGTTCGGAGTGGGTGCTGGCAGGGAACTAAGGAGCAAGAGATACATCAAGAGAGACAGAGCTGGAAAGACCAACGGGTCATGGCAGTGAGGGGACAGGGCGTTCCACTCCTGAACCCCACTCCAGGCAACAGGAGGCCCAGGTAGAAGGCTGTTTCTGGCTTCCCAAGTCTTTCTTATACTTCCAATTACTTGAGGTAGCCTGAATGAACCAAAAAAGCCTAGAACAATCTGGGTGGTAACTGAAGCCATGGACAGGGATGCCAGTCTCCAGGCAGCATGGGACTGTCCAGGTTGGAGCCCCGGCTAATGCTGACTCCGCGGGGAGTGAAATCAAGGACGCTGAGAAAGAGTGAGAGACAGCAGGTGAAATCAGAGGGCCGCTGGAAATCACTGACTCAAGTCTCAGCAGAAGAGTTGCAAAGAGAAAGGAGCGGTCAGCGTAAGTGCTGAGGTCAGGAAAGGTGAGGCTTCCGGCCATGCCTTGGACTTGGCAGCCTGGAGGGAGTCACTGGTGAAGGGAGCAGCCAGGCTGCGAGGGCCAAAGGGCCAAGTGGGAGTGAGGAGTGCGGACGGACAACCCAGCAGGACTGACCGGGCCCCCACTGCAGCTGTGTCCCCACTGGAGGGGGTGGCGGAGCTGCCGGGCAGCGGAAGGCTCTGGAGCAGTGCGGTGGGGACTGAAGAAGGGCACGTAGGGACTGGTGAGCAGGAATGAGGGCTGGCTGAGATGTGAACCCCTACATTTATAGAACTGTGATCTGCACAGATGGGAGATTTCCTCCAGCAACCCCCACACGAATGCAGGAGCAAAGAAGCTCCTCAGCACGCTGGCCGAGATGTCCAGGTTCCGGCTGGGGCCAGGGGAGGCTAGCGACGGAAGTGGAGGGAGCTGGAGGAGGGAGCAGGTTCTCCACACGGGCTCCTGCTGTGCAAGGAGGTGCGGGAGGCTGGGCCGCAGGCTGGGAGAGCTGGCGGCTTCTCCACTGCACGGCGCCTGGGCGCCTGGGCACGGACCGCCTGGGAAGTGACTGGGTGCAGAAGGACTCTGCGTGGCCATGGGGAAGCACGGAGGAGGTGCAGGGGTGTCCTGAGGCTGAGGGCAATGTTGTGGGCTGTTTGAGGGGCCAGGACGTCCTCTGGGAGGAAGACGACTTGAGGTAGAGAGGATGGCTGGGAGCTGGTGCCAAGATGAGCACATCAGGGCTGGGGCACAGCAAGGAGGAGGCAGGTGCGGGACCAGGGCGGGGAGAGGGCCAGAGGGAACATTCAGGAAGGAAACTGGGGAAGGAGGTTCCAGGTTCATGGGGAGACTGGGGAGGAAGCACAGGGAATGTTTCGCGGTCAGAGGCCCACAGTCAGGCCCACCTCTGGTGTCCCAACTTCTCTGGGGCTGGGCAGCAGCTTCCTGAGAGCTCTGGGCAGCCAGAGCAGTGGCTGAAGGGCCCCCTCCCGCAGCCCTGCCTCGCCCAGTCCCTCACCTCTTTGATGGCTGCCATGCGCACGGTCTCATAGTAGTGCAAGGGTGCATTGGGTGTGCTCATGTCGTAGCCAAAGCCTGCGACTGCCACTTCATCACAGCCGTGTAGTGCCATGGTCACTGCCACACTGCCGAGGGTCGGGATGTTCTGGAGGAGGGGACGGAGGAGGCGCAGCGCTCAGCTGGAGGGCTAAGCTAAGCTCCCTTCCCGAGGACTGAGCCCTGGCCCCTACCTGCCACCCTCCTTCCTTCCCAAGGCCCCTGACCCAGTTCCCTCCTCCCTCTCGTGGCCCAGCCAACTCACCCCGCGGCCCATGAGGCCATTGTTGAAGGGCAGTCCGATGAGGGTGAAGGCAGCTTCCTGGATGAAATATGGGTTGAGGATACGAATCTCGGGGGGCTCCTTGGGCACTCGAGTCGCCACAGATTTCCAGAAGCCGTCCGACGCGCTCTGTGGACGCAGCATAGGTGGGCGTGAGCTGGGCACACAGCTGGTGACGGGACTGTGTGAGTGGCAGGGATCCAGAGTGTTTACAGGCAAACGAGAAACAGGGTGGGGGGCATGGAGTGGTTCTGGAGAACCTGGGTGCGTGGGACACACACAGATGGCAGAGGGAGGACCTGGTGTGTGCTGGGATGGGGCTGTGTAACAGACAGGGTATGCGGTGGGAGCAGTGAGCATATGGTCGAGCCACAGTGTGCAATGAGGATCCGGAGTGAGCTGCACGGTGGGGGCATAGGTGTCGGATGCTGGGTGTGCTGCTGTGGCCTGAGCAGTTTCTTGGGTCAACAAGAAGACCCAATGGCCCAGCTATTCCCTGCCCCAGTCACAGCTACTGAGGGGCCCAGGAGCCTGCCCTCTCTCTCCTATCTGTCTGCTGGGCTTGCTGCCTTTCCCTTCTGTTGTCTCTCCTGGCTCTCAGTCAACTGTTCTAAAGTGAACCTGAAAAATAAAGACAGAGTGTGAGCTAGTACGGCAACCCGAACATCACTCAAATCCCAGTTCTGCCACTGACTGGAGTTGGGTGACTGGTCAAGTGGCAGACTCTCTGAGCTTCAGTTTCTTTAACTGCAAAATGGGATCCTTCTTCTCTCAGATCTCGTACCACATGGGAAAGGCGTCCGTTCTGAAACCTGACGTCGGTGTGCGTTCCAGGGCCACACTTCCTCTGCTTCTCACTCTCTCCCTCTGGTCCTCAGCCCTGCCTTTCTGTTCGAGACCCTGAAGCATATCACTTCACAGTCTCTCTTGAGCGCCCCCAACTCCCTGCCCCTTGCCCTTTTACTGCCCCCACCCAGGAAGCCCTTCATCCACTCTGCCACCCTGACAGCCGGGCTCCTGAGTACTGCTGGGGTCACAGACCAACCTGCAGACAGCAGGCGGTCAAACCATGGACTCTGACCTGTTATTTCCAGGGAGTCTGTAATTTGCCTAGAAAACCCAAAAGAACCAATTACACTTAATGGATGAAATAATTTAGTAATAGGATCTGCACTCCAACAGGAAAGTCTCCAGATATACTACAAAAGAGCTCCCACTTGCCATCCTAACAAAAAATAATCAAATAATGATAAATAAACTTAAATACGTGGGACCAATAGTAAAACAAAAAATCCTACAATTCTTTACTGAGAGATCTAAAAATTGACTTGGAAAAAAACAGGAGACAAGCCATATCTTGGATGAGAAGGCTCACTGTTAACACAATGCTACTTCCTCCCAGGTTAATGGAGCCTTAACATAATTCTAAGAAAAATCCCAATAGGATTTCTTTTTTTTTGAAATTTACCAAAAGGATTCTAAAAACCCATCCAAATACTTAATAGGTAAAAATAGCCCCCAAAATTAAAAAATTAGATATTAGAGTATGTTATAAATTTGCAAGTATTAAAACATTGATAGATGTCTACGATCGACCCCCAGATCAACAAGGCACTCAGCCCAGAAGCAGACCAGCCCGCATGCGCTGAGGTTCTGGGGTAAAGGAAGCTGCGCCATTATCTCAGCAAGTGATATTTAAAAACTTGCTACTTAGAAAAAAATCCAATTACTGCCTCTCCTGATAAAAAAGTAAAGCTAAAAGAAAATTTAGATGTATATTTTATCATTGAGCTTCCTAAACATGAATGCAATGTTAGAAATAATAAGGCAAACTAATTCTGACTTCGTGAACATTTTTAGTGCTTTGGTACATCAAAAATATAATAAGCAAAATTAACAAGGAAAGAAGTGGGAAAATTTTTGTCACAATATATTGTAAAAACTCATGAGAAAATCAAAAAGACCCCATAAAAGTGGGAAAAGAACATAAAATAAGGTTAGGAAGCATGAAAAACTCAATAGTGACAAAAATGCAAATGAAAATAATCAGATACTGTATTTTATCTTCAAAAATACAGAATAGGGCAAAAGGAGGTTTACAGTTTGTTTGCATGGAAAACAATAAATAAATAAATAAATAATAGAACAGAATAAACTGTTTTGCGTATTCACCACTGTAAACCTACTTTTGCCCAGCTGTGTGTGTGTCTGTCTGTCTCAGGGTTGTGGTGCTGTGCTGGGTGAGGTACAATTCACCCACACTGCTGCAGGAGCAAAATTTGGTACAGCCTTTCGAGAAAGCAATCTGAATATGAATCAAAAGCTTCAAGGCTGTTTATACCCAACGACTGCAACTTTTTCTCCTAAAAGTAATCAGAGTGGTGAAGACCTTTTAAAAAGCTGTTTATTACAGTATTATTTATAAAAGTGAAAAACCTGAAAAAAAATCCAGAAGTTTCCAATAGAGATTTGGTAAAATGATCCACCTCTCTAAATAAATGTTATGGACCCCAAAATTATGTTTTCTAAGAATTTGTCATGGGGATGTATATACCGTGTTTAACCAACCCTCTGCTGTTGGACATCTACACTGCTTCTAGTGCCCCCGCCCCACCCCTGCCCCTGGTCCCTATCCTCTAGCGCCCTCCTAGAACCAGAAACCTCAGAATTGACGTTTGATCTTTTCCCCCCTCTCTCCAGCCCATCTTGTCCTACTGGTCTTCTAGTTCTTTTGATTCTATCTTCCTAGCATCCCACAGACCCACCCCTTACTCCCAAACCCGTAGCTACCACGGAAGTCCAGTCACTTGGACTAGCCTAATGGCTGGCCAGTCACAGCATCTGTCTTGTTGGCTGCTCAGAGCCCAGAGCCCGGAGCCCAGTAGTGACTAGAACATAAAGGGTACACAGCAGTTGTTAAATTCCACCCATTTAGTCAACAAACATGCAGTGAGTGCCTAGAGGGGTTGCCTCTGCCTCCCAAACCATGTTCCACTCTCTGCCTGATGATCTTTCTGTACACGAAGCAGATCACATCACCACTGCCCACAGACCTGAGCTGCTCAGCCAGCAAGCCCGCCTGCCAGGCCAGCTTCCGCTGCAGACCCCTCAAGTCCCCACCTGCTAATCCACGCACGGCTCCATGCTCTTGCTGATGCCGCTCCTCCTATCTCTAATGGCCTTCCCACATCTATCCACTGAGACAGCCGACTCGTTTTGTTTTTGTTTTTAATTTTTTTCCCTTTATTAGAGAGAGGAAGTGAGACGGAGAGTGAGATAGAAACATGGATGAGAGAGAACATCGACGGGCTGCCTCCTGCATACCCCCCACTGGGGATCGGGCCCACAACCTGGGCATGTGCCCTGACCGGGAATCGAATTGGGACCTCTTGGTGCATGGGTCGACACTCAACTGCTGAGCCACACTGGCCGGACCAACTGACTCGTTGTTTTTTTTCCTTATCCTCACCTGAGGACATTTTTGCATTTATCTTCAGATAGAGCGGGAGGGGAGGGTGGAAGAGAGAGAGAGACACATCAACTGGTTGCCACCCACATAACCCCAACTGGGGCTGGGGACAAACTGCAACCTAGGTATGTGACCTTAGCGGAAACTGAACCCGGGACTCTCTGGTCCATGAGCTGGACGCTCTAATCGCTGAGCCAAACTGGCTAGGGCTGACTCGTTTTTTTTTTGTTTTTTTTTTATCCTCACCAGAGGATATTTTTCCATATTTTGTACAGATAGAGTGGGAGGGAGAGAGAGGAAGGAGAGAGAGAGAGAAACATCGACGTGAAGGGACACATCGAGTGGCTGCCACCCGCACGACCAACCAGGGCCGGGGACAAACTGCAACCGAAGTACGTGCCCTTAGCGGGAACCGAACCCGTGTCTCTCCGGACCACAGGCCGACGCTCTAACCACTGAGCCAAACTGGCCAGGGCGGGCTGACTCGTTTTTTAAGACTTAGCATATCCTTTTTCCTCATGTCTTTCCTGACCCCATTCCTCCCAAGGCATAAATGATCTCTAACCTTTGGGAGGTGATAGAATAGAGTTAAATCTGCTATGGTTTGAATGTGTTCCCCACCCGCCCCCCAGCCACCAAAGTCATGTTGAACACCTAATGCCCAACGCAGTCGTTATTAGGCGGTGGAGGCTTTAGGAAGTGATTAGTTTATGAGGGTGGAGCCCTCATGAGTGGGAGTAATGCCTTTATAAAAGAGGTCCCAGAACCCTGGCTGGTTTGGCTCAGCGGTTAGAGCGTCGGCCTGTGGACCAAGGAGTTTCGGGTTTGATTCCGGTCAGGTCAAGGGCATGTACCTTGGTTGCAGTTCAGTCCACAGCCCTGGTCAGGGTCATGCAGGAGGCAACCAATTCATGTCGATTTTTTTCTCTCTCTCCCTCCCTCCCACTCTGTATGGAAATAAATGCAAAAAATATCCTTGGGTGAGGATTTAAAATAAAAGAGGTCCCACGCCCTGGCCAGTTTGGCTCAGCGGTTAAAGAGTCAGCCTGCGGACCGGAGAGACTGGGGTTCGGTTCCCGCTAAGGGCACATACCTGGGTTGCAGTTTGTCCCTGACCCCGGTTGGGGTTGTGTGGGTGGCAACCACTTGATGTGTCTCTCTCACATCAACGTTTCTTTCTCTTTCTCTCTCTCTTCCTCTCTCATCCCTCCCGCTCTATCTGAAGATAAATGCAAAAAGTGTTCTCAGGTGAGGATAAAAAAATAGTAAAATAAAATAGAGCGCAGAGAGATCCCTTTCCCCTCCCTCCAAGTGAGGACATACTGGGAAGAAGGCCGTCTATGAACAGGGAAGCCCTCACCAAAACCGACTCTGCCGGCGCCACGATCCTGCACTTCAGCCTCCAGAATGGTGATAAATAAATTTCTGTTGTTTATAAGCCACCCAGTCTGTGATCTTTTGTTATAGCAGCCTGAACGAACTGGATTCAACTTCAGCTCTGGCCACCCACTGTGTGGAGACCCTGGGCAAGGAACCCACCATTTCCTTATTGATAAACCAGGATACTAACAGTACTTATATGGGCTATTGTGAGAATTAAATAACTCAGGCCGAGTGCCAGCTCAGTCACCTGATCAATTGCAGTCATCATCACCATGAG